AGCACTTGCACACAGACCAGAAAGCATTGTTAAACCCTGCTCAAAACCACCCTGCTAACCATGGCATGAGCTGAGTGGGTTGGGTCCGGGGTTGAAGGGTGCTTGCTGGGACTGGGCTGCTGGCAAGCTTCTGCCCCATAGCCGGCTGGTATGGGCTGATGTGCACCCTGGAGCAGGAGCACATCAGTGTCCTCCTCTGTTCTGCACCGGAGCCAACACGCAATTGAACCAGGGAGTCAAAGCAGTGGCACACAGAGAGTTGGAGCAGCGCTCGGCAGCAAATTAGGCATTTAAAACCTGAGGAGAGTGACGGGTGAAGATTAAACGCATTATAGATCTGCTGGAGGAGAGGCGAGTGAAAGAAAAGGTAGATCATTGACACCCCTCAGGCAACAGGGTGAAGACGTGTTTACGTACCGGCGTGTAATCAAGTAGGAATGAATGCAAGGCGCGGAGCCCTAATTGTTCATTTGCAATCAAGGCCACGTACACCTTTTCTTAGTCACAGAAAAACACCGCCGGGCTCCTTGCTCCTGCTCCACAGCAGCGTTACCTGGAGGAGGGGAAATTACCCGCAGTAATGGGGCTGACTGCGGGCACGGAGCAGCTGGGGAAGGGAAGCTGCAGCCCTCACCATCGGAGTGATGCTCTGGACACCGAGCCCCCCGGCTGGGATGGGAGCAGGGTGGCAGACAGGAGAGCAGGAGGGACAGCACGCAGAGGTTTCCTCCTGCACCTGATTGAGATGCCGGTGCCGCTGCCATGCTGAGGAGCTGCTGCCATCCTGTCGCAGGCAGGAGCCAGCGCGGTGCCAGCCCCGAGGGGAGCCGGAGCCGAGTACAGACGAGGGTGTGTGATCAAATATTCCCTTTGCTCCCGGCAGCTCTCTGGCTCCTGCTTGCTCGGCCCACACGTGCCAGCTCCAGGCGTGCTCCGGCAGGAGAGGCGATGCTCACCCTGCCTGTTGCAGCACAGAGGCAGATGCGAGGCTCCTGCCATGGGGATGCTGAACCCTGGTACCCAAACACGAATTGGTAACACCAGCCACCAGCACCCAGGCTGTGCAGGCAAAAACAGTGAGGGAATCCAACCTTGGTGCTCTGGATGCTGAGAGTGAGCATGTGGGGCCTTGGGGGAGATGCCTAGGGCAGCACTGGTATTGCTGGGACATTAAGCAAGTCTTTGTTGAAGCTAGTCAGATGCAAACAGCATTTCCAGAAAGGAATGGGGGTCATAACAGAGCACAGGAAACTGCCTGTGGGCTTTTCAACCAGCTCTTCCCTGGCACTGGGCATGTTCACCCCTGCTCCCAGCACTGGGATGGATGGATGCCAGCTCTGCTCCACGGGAGGGCTGGGCTCTGCCTCCTGCCCTTAGTCACCTTCCTAAGGACAGTGTGGTTGTTTAACTGGAGTGTGTTTATTGAACTGAAGTGTGTTTGTGCAACTGAAGTTGGTTTATTTACCTACAGCTCGGGTATTTATCTAAAGTTTGGCTATTTGACTAAAGTTGGTTTATTTAGCTAAAGCTGTTTTGTCCAATTACCGTTTGTTTGTTGAATTAAAGCTTCCCAAGGAGGTTCTGCAGGTCCACCCAGATAATGCAGTACTCTGAAGGGGGTGATGTGTGCGACGAGGACGCTCTGCTGCAGATGCCTGGTAATTTGGACCAACCATGACCTTGCTCAGGGCAAAGGACTGAGTGGCTTTGCCCTGGCTCACGGGGCTCAATCCGAGCCAGTTCTAACTCATGTGCAGTCAGCTCCCACGCTGTGCTCCCAGCACACTGCTCACCCAGAGTTACTGTGTGCTCACCTGCGGACTCTGTGCATGGCAGAGCAGCAGCTCTGGCCCTTACAGCACGGGGCTGCTGCTGCACCGGCACCAGCTCCCGGCATCCCTGCTTACCCAGTGCCATCGCCAGGACCCAGCACCGGGGGCACGTCCTGCCCGATCGATGCCGCCTGCAGCTGCTGCCGCCGAGAAAATGGGATTGGATCTTCAGGAAAAGCTATTAGCCCGTTGTCAGGCAGTGATGGGAGCTGCCGGGCCAGCATGGATCGATGCTGCCAGCCCCAGCGCCCCGCTCCTCCTTTCTATAGCAAGTGCTTTTCAATCCTGAGCCCGGAATTCAGGCTCGTTTTATCTGATCTAGGTTAAAGTGTCATCTATCACTAATTACTTTATGTGGCAGAGCACTCGAAGCTGGGACTTTATTCTTTGATTTCATAACAACCCAGAAGCATCCTCAGGTCCTCTTAATGAAACAGGCTTAACAGCTGTACGCTCGCTCTGGAAGGGAGCACGTTTCTGCGGCTGGTCACCAGGGATGGTCGATTCACTGACTCTAGTTTCTTACTGTTCCTCTTTTCAGCTTTCCCCCTCAATACTTGTGTGTCTTGATGTCTGTTAAAGCAGTTGTGTTTCACCGAGAAACTGACTATAAATGGGACATTTGCACATTCTTTTTGTCCATTTGTGTTGCCTGGGCAGGGCCACACGGGCAAAGACCCGAAGTGTTCAGGTACCAGTAGGAAAGAGGCAGAAAAGGGGTACGAGGTGACCTCTAAAAGCCTGAAGGATGCGGACCACAGATAGGATAAAGCACAGACTTTGTTCTGCCACAGGACCACTGAGGCCATAGGAAGCTCTACAGCTCTACAGAAGCTGGGACGTTCAGGAGTGAAGCCCTAACACAGCAGAGGGTGGAAGGAGGGACAGTGGGCATACAAGCCCAGGCACAGGGAAACCGCTGCAGCTTCTGAAGCCCTCACAGATGAACTCAAGGAGGTTTCTGAGCGGACGTAGTTCTCTGTGTGGTGTTAAACGGACAGACAAATGGCTAAAGCAATGGCTCGCAGCGTAACCCTACAGTCAGATGTGGGTTGCTGGCACGAGTCTGAGCTGCCCGAGAGGAAGGGTTGAGCTCTGGTTGTCCACACAGACCCCCTCGTTCCTAGGGACATAACAAGATAGAAATGAAAACCTTCAGAAGCCGTGGCTAAGTAAGCCTGTGATCTTTGCAAGCAGCACTCCCTGTTTGGGTTTCTTTCCCAAACAGATGGATACTGCGGCATGAAATTGCCAAGATTAAAGGCAGCAGCGGTTTAGTACAGGCAACTGGGGACATGAAATGGTTGGGCCATTCGAGGACGGGGATCAAGAGCCCTGGCACAGGTCCCGCTCAGCACTCACAGAAGGTAAACAGCCCCAGAGCAAGGCAGCCGCACACAGAGGCGCTGGCAAACGCACCAAGCATGATGCCGGGATGGGGATGAGCCTCCGATGTGTCCACAGCAGGGCTGGGGCTGGCAGCACCCGCACTGAGCAATGCTCACAACCGCGTCCTCAACAAGCTGCTGGTGTTCAAGCACACTTGAACCGGTTTGACACTGGAAACAAGAAGCAGCCATAACCCAGGGCTCCCCATCCTCTCCCAGCTTCCCACCACAGCCCTGCCTTCACCATGGCACATCACCCCCGAGCATGCTGAATTATTGAGAGCCACTGCAGCCCGGCAGCAGCAGCAGCAGGTCTGTGTGCAGCAGACATCTCAGACACAGCATTAATCATGGCTCAAAGCCCTCGGGGAGGGGTGCTGGCTCGAGCAGCACATGTTGAATCAGGAATTACAAAGAACCTCGCCCCACTGCGACATCCAGAGTGGGACACTCGAGGCAGCTTGTGGCAAAGTGTGTGCAGGATAATGCGGGTTGTGGCACTCCGGGGTGCTGCCCCGCTGTAACATCTCTACGTGTTAGGAGACACGGGCCAGTTGTACCTACCACAGCCTTGAGATGCTCCACACTCAGCAGTGACAAGCGCTGGGGACCAGCCTTTCCTCACAACGCAGGACCTGCACATCCTGCCACCACCGAGGGACCACGTGGGGCACATGATGCCACCCTGGTCCCCCCACTGCCTTTACATCCAGGCACAACACATGAGATTCCATTATTGAGTGTGGCTAAACAATGCTCTAGGAAATAATTCTACTTGAGCTGTGCCATATGGACACAACACTGCCTGTATTGCTGTAACCATAAAGGGTTCAGGGAAAGGAGAACACGGACCTGGGGGGGGGAAGGAATTCAACTGCATATCTAACGCCATTGACATCACAAGTGTGTGGCACAATTTGCTCTAGCTTGAAGAGGAAAAAGCCATGAGGGACCTGCAAGTTTAACATCTCTTGTGCATTGAAATAATTAAAACATGGCCATTTTGAACCCACCACAGTTAACTGTGCTCATCTTGAGTAACAAAAGGCAAGGCTGCTTTTTCTGGTTTGCCCCGTTTTTTCCTCAGTTTCTCTAAGAAAAAAATGTTATTTTTATATATTTACTTATATGACATATACATATATATATATATATATGAAGTTCTGAAGAAATCACTGTTCTTGGAGGAGCAGCCACCACCGCTGCCTTTGGCACATGAGCCCAGATACGAAGGGCTCCTCGCCGTACACGACAGCCTGTTTATGCACAGGGATGATGGCAGCGCACCTCTCGGCAGCATCTCCTCACTGGAAAGCAACTGCTTCTCTCCTCCTCCTTTGTCCAAAACATCAAAGATTGATGCTTCCAATTGCGGTGCTGCAGCTGCCTCGTAACCTGATTTCAGGGGGGACAATGAGCAGAGGCCCTTGGTACCAGACCTCTTCGCTGCAGTTGATGTCTCGGGGCAAGCAGACACCTCGGATCATGGTTTGGAAATCCCCAGCGTTATAAAGGGAGGTGTGATACCTGGCAACAGCCAGGCCTGAACTGGAGATGGGAACGGGGTCCCTCAACGCACACCTGCTGTTACGGAACGTAAATATTGGTCTGCTGTTACAGCTTCCACACCGGGCTGTCTCCGGAGCACCTCAGGAAGACTGGAATATCAGTTACAGGTCGATTTGCTCCTTAAGCAAACACCAACGCAGGATAAACAGCATTAGAGGATGGCTACGACCGCGTCTGCAGATGGCAGGAATACAGAGAGCAAAGAGAGATGTAGTTTTGTAACATTAATCTTTTTTTTTTATTAAGAAGACAGATATTTTATAGTACTTCTTTTCCTTTGTAAAAATGGTATACATGAACCAATACAAAATGTGAATGGGAACAGATGGATATGTATTTTCTTACATTGTAACACCTTCCATGGACACCTTAAAACAGAACTGGCCTAAGGGGAAAAACCAAAAAGGCCGGGTAAATAAAGAACAAGGTTGTTTATCATCAGTTCCGCGTCCTTCATTTGTAACATCCCTTAAACAAGGTTGTTCTTTCTTCACGCTTCAAAATCCTAATGATCTAAAGCTGTACAAAGTAATACTCAACAATACATTTCAAACAGTGCACTGTATACTGAAGAAAAAATACATAACCCAATATACAACTCAAAGTCGCAATTTCCTGGTTCTTATCCTGTTCCTAGGGTTTGTTTCGAATGCGTGGGGCCGAAATTTTGCAATCTACCTGAGACGGAAAACACCAATCAAAACACATGAACCTGAGACATGTCAACAGCGTAAGTCAAAGTTACATCGGTAACACTGCACTACGGTACACTCCAAACAAAGATGGGCTGCTCAAAGCCAGGGTGCCCGTCCCGGCGGCGGGAGAGCCCCCACTGCTGCCTGCTCCCAGCCACGGCGCGGGGGGGCTCGGAGAGGAGCTCGGCAAAAGCTGCTCGGAACAAGGGGTATTCCCGCGAGGTCCTTCTCGCGCGGAGGGAAAAGGCGGAACGCTGCCGGAGCACGGGCCCGCTCTCTGCCGTCGGGCCGTCCCGATCCCGAAGGAATCCCGCGGTGTCACGGGGCTGCCAAAAACAACAGCTAAAAAAGAAAAACCCAAACGCACGAAAACGCTGCCCCAAAACCCCCCTAAAAACCCCAAACCTGACACTAAGATTAATGCTTCCCTTAAATAAATCAGCATACATTTTCCACAGAAACACAGTAAAAAAAAAAGAAAGAATCGCTCCAAATCAAAGATTACTCACAAGAAACAAAAGATTCAGCATAGAGACTTTAACACCGCCTTGTCCTGGTGCTCTGCTGCTGCTCGCTTACGGTTCTACCAGACCTCGAGTCCCCGTTTCACCTATGGCTTTGTAAGTCGGTCAGCGCTCCCGTAGTGCCCCACGGGCAGGACACGAGGCCACTGCACCCCATGCCCCATGGCTGCAATGGGGGGGAGGATGATAAGGGCCGGGCTGCGCCGGCTCTGGCAAAGCGGGACAGGGGGGCCCAGCCCCGAGAGCGGGATGGAGCATCCACAAGGCATGGGGCAGGAGCAGACATCCCGCATCCCTCCCGGAAGATACCCCAGGGCCGAAGGGCGCCTTTGCCGAGCTCCAGCCGATTTCCTAGTCACCATCATGGAAAGCACCTGAAACATGGGCAGCCACGAGTGGGTTCTCGCCGCTCTTTATCCGAGCCTTTAGGACGATAGAGGGAATGGGATATGGGCACACTGAACTGCAAACTACGAAGTCTAAAATGTGCTGGTTCTCCTCTGATGAGCTCGAGTTCTGAGCGGAAACCGGTGACGAGAAAAAGAAACACCTTCAAGGAAGGTCCAAGGGGTCCCAGCAGGCAACTCCCGGAACCCAAGAGGAAAGGGGAAACGAAGAGCCACAGAAACCCGAAGGGAACTAACGCACAGAAGCCCCTCTTCTTCCCAGCCTCCCCCCGACCCGAACAAACAGAAATTAAACAAGGCACAGAATCTTCTGCAAATGACTTCACTAAACTAAATCCAAGCTGGACTTGGCCAAGAAAAGAAAACCCAAACGAACTGAGGTGTCGAACAGCAGAGTGTACTTTGCGAGGAATATTTTTACACAGCCAATCCCGGACCCTCCCAGCCTCCGACTCTCCACCCATTGGCTTTTTTTTCTTTAAAAAGAAAAGACACAAGCTGGTTGCAACTTCCAATATCACTGTCTCTTGAGCATTTAAATAGTAACCGTCCACGGTTGGACACCTCAACAAACCAAGGCTGCTCTAGATGAAGTACTCTTTCTTCTCTTCGGAGTTGTTTTGTCCTCCTTCTGCATTGATGATGGCTGTGTCTGCGTCGGCCGCATCATCTGCTCCTTTGGCTTCGTGAGTGAAGTATGTACCTGGAAGGGAAGCAGGAGGTTGTGTGACTCCTCGCAGGTCTCTGCAAGAGCATAACTGATGAAGCTGCGAGTGCCAGGGGAAAGCAACCCCCTAATGGGAGAGCAGGAGACGCTATGAGGGACCGAGCCACTGAGAGGCTCTTCAGCAGCAATACCATGCTGCAAGCCCAACGGCATTGGGGCAGGTGCTCTTCCAGTCCTGCCCTGGGCATCCAGAGGAGCAACCCATTTATTATAGCGGGAGCTGGGCACTTGGCCTCCACAGCCATGACAATACCAGGCTGCAACAGGAAGCCAGCGTTGGGAAACCCGCTCTCCTCCTGAGCCAGCACACAGAACACAGGTAGGCAGCTCCAGCCCTCCTCCCTTTCCCTGCTCCCAAGGGCTTTCAGGACTCCTCCAAGAGCAGCCGGGGTCCCCTGCCCAAGACAAGACCCCGCCGCGAGCAAAGGGACACGCACGCCGCGTTCTTTCCTTTTCCAGTTTTGTCTTACCTTTATGTCTGGCAAAATATCGCCCTAAAATGATGAGCAGGCAAAGCATTGCAAACACGACCACGGCCACGACGCCGCCGACCACCGCGTGGTCCACGCTCCGTATTGCCCCTTCCTCACCTGCACGAGAATCTGTTGAGATCAGAAGAGGAATAAGAATTTGGGACTCATTACGATGCACTCTGAAGGGTCTGGCTGCGGCTGCTCTCGGGCCTGGAAAAGCCACCCTTGTGCTCTCAAAAGGAAGAGGGGTAAAGCACAGAGCTGCCTCCCAGATGAGTTGGGGCAGAGGAGCTCGGTCTGGAGCCCAACTCATGTGGCGGCTCGACTCGCAAGGTGTTTTCCACTAGAAGCAGCAGCGCTACGACTACACAGGTGGGAGGCAGCTGGGAGAGGAGAGATGGAGCCGGAGGTGGCTGCGGATCTGGGAGATTTCCCTTGAGTGCTCCCCAAATTCCCACCTCCCCGGGGACGGAGGCACGGGGAGCAGCAGGCCAGTACAGGAACATGAGCTCTGGAGGAACATCACTAACAATGGCCCTGTTGAAAACATTCCTCTTCGGCCCAAAGAACCACAACCCAGCCAAGCCAGCCCGGTAAAATCATTGACAACCGTCCTTGCCCCATCCCAACAAGCTGATGCTTTTGCTGTCCAAAGCATCTGTAATGTCCGGAGACATGAAATTCCTGACCCACAGTACAGAAACCTCTTTGAAAGCGAGTGATAATTGTAGAGGCCTCCAACCGCTTTACTGCGCTTATTTAAGCCTTTGCCACACCATCAGTTTTCTTTCAGAAGCTCCTCTCCCTTAGGACGCCGTCACTGGGGAGAGGAATGACTTGTTTGGCAGGGGAACAGCTCCAAAATGAACCCAGAATGAGCTATGGCCATGTAAAATGAATGTATGGCAGTGTAAACAATTTTAATTTAAGAACGCAGCTACATCAACCCTCACTGCAATCCTAATGGCAAGCGAGATTTATAACGTAGTAAAACACAATTATTCTCCCGCTGATTAATATATTAACATTTTGGAATAGAAGCTAAACCATTGTCTCTTTTTTCCATGGAGTCAAGCGCGACACCTCCATTAAAATGATTTACTGGCCATACCTTACAATTTAAGCACAGCAGCAACAGAAACGGTAAAAATCTTTTAACTTTACATGATTTGTGAAGTCATATGTGAAGGATTTACCATTTAAATCTTTCACTACAAGAAGCACATGGCCTATAAATCTGCCCTGCATGCAGTTGCCCAGACACCTAAGAGAAATGCATTTTACCAGGAAGACTGAGAGTGCAAATGCAAGTCCATTTCTAAGAAAGATTTATCTCCGTCTCCCTCCAAGGAGCAGAGCAAATCTCTGAAGCCTCCACCTCTAATAATATTTGAAGTTTATCGATCAAGCGTACAGATCCGTGACAGCTAAAGGTAATGGTGCTCTTTGGAGCCGAAACCTGATACAAAGCTTGCGAGCAGCAGCCCGGGATTTATGCTTTCTATCGATATTTCCAATTCTGCTCTGAGATTAAGGACCAGGGGCCCTAAGTGAATAACTCGTGACTGAGAGCACCGTAAAGCGCCTTTTAATTAAAACAATTTGAGACAAAACCCCTTCGAGTGCTTCTTCGAGTAACTTCCATGAGCTCTGGCACGGGCAGCAGGAGCAGGGAGCCCCTTTCCGAGCTTACCTGGAAAGCTGACACTCTGCCCCAGAAATGGCCCTGCAAACCAAAAGCACCGGCTGCCCCATCACCTAATCCAGGTCATTTGGCTGCAGTTCTGGCTCTGCTGCCTGCCAGCACAAGGGAAACGGCCCTTCCCTAAGAACTGACTGTGGCAAACAGTCTGTGCAGAGCAGTTTACTGAGGATGACTTTGTCTACCGGGACATGCAGGGCCATTTTTCTTCATTATTCCTGTTAAAAGAGACCTCTGTGAAGTGCCAGCATGAGTTCATTTTATTATGCGCGTGGCTAAACAGTTTATCTTCAAGCTTAACAGACTACATCAAAATCAGATGCCTTCGGAGGATGCTTGGTGGCTGCCAGCCATCCAGTGCCAGGTCTGTGGGGAGGTGGCAGCGGGCTCTTAGTGGGTGATGTATGTGCATTTCCATTGGATAAGCCCGTGGATGGCTTTCCTGCCAAAGTGCAGGACGCTGATGCCCCAGGAGCACCGTGTGCAGGACAATGCTGCTTTCTCACCCCAGTATGTCCTCAATATATAACTTCCCTGCACAAGCTGCTCCAGTCGTTCCCTTTGCTAGATACTCCTCCTTCAACATCTCCTCTCTGCCTCATCTTCAACACCTCACCACGCTCCACATGCTCCAATGTGGTGACCGAACATCAACCCCGTTCTGCCTCCCAGCACAGAAGTTTGCTGTCACTCGTTATTTCTATGGGAATCTAAAAGTTTCGAGTCTACGGGGCAAGGAGTAATTCCCCAAATTTGTACTGACAAAGAGAGAGCTGACCTTAAAGCCTGGGATCTGCTTTGAAATGCTGCCTCTGATTCACAAAAGCTATTCCCGCTTCAGATCTATGATTAAAAAAGAGATCACAACTTTATTACTGAAGAGGGAGCAGACGAGATGGCAGGAACTGACAAAATGCCACGTTATTTGCTAATCCTAATATGTTATTCTTCCTGAAGATTTGCTTTTCTCAGCACCAATTCAATTATAGATGCTACAAATCCTTCTGACATTTAATTCCCTCTTGTCGGAGAGCACTAAATGTATACATGCAGAGCTTTCCATTAAGATGTTAAGGAGCGTGCTGGCCTTTGCATCGAGCACTCGGGAATCTCCCTGCCGCGGTCTGGTTTTGGCTTTGCTGGGGGATTTTTGGTGGGAGCGGGAGGAGGGAGGGAAGAGCAGGGAAGGGGCTGCCACAGCTGCATGTTGTGATGAACATGCATCCCAGCCTGGCTACTCTGCAGCTACTCCACACCTCGCTGCACCTACTGCTGTGGGCTGGTGCTTTGCCTGGCGCCAAAGCACCTTAAAGGAAAACTGCAGCATCAGTGGCACAATCCACCTGCAATAACTGAACAAAGTGCAGCACTGCCCCGTGATAGAGGGATCCCCCAGTTTTCCCTGGTGTAGCACTGAACTCGTCAGTGTGAGATGCAGACCTCACACACATCAGCAGAGAGCACCGCAGCACCATTTCAAGTGGTGGACAACACTAGGCTTTGATAGATTTCAGTTCGGCTGTCATTAGCAGAAGTGAGATGATGCCACTGAAGTCTTCCTTTAACCCAACAGTGCAGCTCATAGAATACTACACAGACAGAGAAGAGACATTTCCGACCCATCCCTGCTCCTCACCGTACCAGCAGGACGTACTGAGTGAGGAGCGACACACAGCGGGTGGTTTATCTTCCACATGAGCAGTGTCAACCCACACCTGCGCTGGAAACCCACAGGTTCTTACCTATGGGCTTTATTTGCAGGGGGAGAGGCCTTTTAAAAATAAAGGCATTAAGAATCTCCACTTTTCTAACACTTCTGCAGCCGTAATTGCTTAAATCAGCTCTCAAAAGCGTGCAGATTTGGTTAGCAGGATCCTAACAATGTGGGTCAACCCTCACAGCAAGCTTTAGCAGAGGGAAGACTGCTCTCCTCCTAACTCCCCAGTAAAAAGGTTCCTCTCAGTTCTGGTTTAATGAGTTACTGCTGCACTCCCGCCAACATTTCTATTTCTGGGTGAGAATTAACGTGAAGCCCTTGAGGTAGGCCAACACGGGCTAAATTTGTGTGTGCATATCGAAGTTTACACACACACTAACTCCACTGACAGCTCCATGCTGCCCAGATGCTAACAGAACATCTGCAGCAGGGTGGGGAACAGAAAACCTATTCATTTCTTTGAAGAATTCCTCATTTGGCCATCTTTTTTCCCTCTAAACTGAAAGTGTAGTTTACTAAATAAGGAAGGCACTGACATGACTCAGGCTCCCTCAGGTCACGGTGTAGGTGCTAATGGCCTTAAGTCCCTGCTGTGCTTTGAACAACTGGGCAGCCAGCTATTCCTCCTCGCTACAACGTAGGGCACCTACAGCTCTCATTGACATTTCCCCACTGAATTTGTGGTTTCCAAATGCTGGAGCAGCACTAGAGGTTGGGGCTGGGGGAGGAACAGGCTGTCACTACATCAGAAACACCATAAAACACCACCCCCCCCCGTGATGTGGGAGGACAGAAATCCCTGCCCGTGTATGACAGGATGAGCAATACCATTATTCATTGCTATTCATTGCATTAAGCGCTCTGCCCCTACTCTAATTTATTGATGGGCTGTTAAAGAGTAGCATTAACCTGTTTGTTGTATTATAATTGCATTTGGTCTCATTTAAGCCAGAGAGATCTGAGGAGTTCACCCTTCGTCAATCAATAAGTGCCCCTTCAGCGACCCATTTCAAGATCGCTTCGTAAGAAATACTGCGCTTTGCTTCAATCAATTTAATCCCTACGACAGGCACTCAATGTTCTCTGGTGGCTTCTCGAGCCTCCTCTCTGCTAGGGAACAGAGCCCCACTCCCAACTGATAGCAGCCGATTCATCGGCATCTCCCTGAACCAGGTGCTGATCAGACCCTAGTGGAGCTACACTGGCCCTCCCTGACTGGACTGGGGTCCAGGCGTGCTGCATCCGCCTAGCCAGGAGCTCACAACCAGAGCAGGCAGCAGCGCAGTGATGCACACACAGCCGTACGCCTGTATGCACAGCCGTGTGCCCCAGCCATCTCGAGTACTGCAGGACACTGGCCTGTGAGGCTGGACAAAGCAGAAGAGACCCTGTTCCTTGCCATAGTCTACAGTCTCTACACGGCAGGAAGGAGAGGTGCATTGCGAGTGGCATGGAGACACACACAGCTCGACCAGGAGAAGCGAAGACAGCTCTGTGAGCTAGCTACCTGGACGGAAGGCAAGGGATGCATTACTTAATTGCACGGTTGGCAGAGCCTCCGTTGAAGCATTTAGCAGGACAGGAGTACCTGGAAGGAACAGCACACTGAGCAAACCCACAGCAGCAGCCACGCGTTCCACGAGCCATGAGCACGCACCCCGGCATTCCCACATACCCCTGGGCCGGTCCCGCGGGCTCCCAGTGCTCCCCATGGAGAGCTCGGCTCTAGCACTCACCTGACCACCGCCTGACAGCCCAAATGTGCCGACCCCGGTGCCCAAATGGATCTATTGCAGCTTCCCAGAGCTGGGCATGGGCTATGGGGCAGAGGGCAGCTGTGTTCGAGGCAGGGAATGGCCTGGGGCTCCTTCTCTCTTTGACTCGATACCATTACCCCTGGGGGTGCGTCAGGAACCCAGAGAGCAACAAGCAAAACTGGAAATTCCTAGGGGAAAGAAACCAACCAGGAGCCCAAAGGGATGCTCCAAAATGGGTGCGTGGTGGGCAAATCTTGCCTTGCATTCAAGATCCAGAAAACTGGATCATGCACCCGATACTCAGGAAAAGGCACGAGCCATGCGCCAGAGCCGCAGGCTGGGGCACACGAGGGAAGGCAGCGCTGCCAGCATACACCCACTTTGAGGAATTCCTTTGTGGAATTGTTTCCCGTTCGTCACTCCAGCCACCAAAAGGTGCATTTTTCTTCAAAAAAAAATGACAAATTGAAAAAGTAAGCAAACATCTCCGAGCAGAACAGTCATTGCCCATCCACAGAGTGCTCCTGCACAGACACCTAGTACTGCTTACCTTGCCAGGCCTGCAATAACAATGATTAGTACTGCTCACGTGTTAGAACACACACTGAATTCAGCAATAATTTTTGACCTCTTGGCCAAAGCATACCCTTAGTGGCTCACAGTGGATCAGATAAAGGGGGAGTGTTTTATAGAACAGGATGAGGATTTAGGGCCTTGGTTTTTTTGCCAGTGTTTCAGCACTGGGTTCAGCTCCCAAGAGAATGGGGTGGATCGCAGCCCTCGGCCGGGCTCTTCCCGGCTGGAAGCAGCTGTGGGACTGCCCTGTGCTGCACTGCCCACTCTGGGCTTCCTCTCTATGTGCACTGGAAAATCAGTGCACTTCTAAAGACACTCGGGAAGACAGGCAAAATAGAGATCAGGGGTCTAGGCTCTATTTGCACCCCTGTTTCGAATATACCAACTGCATCCATAGAAGATGCTTTCACTTCTCCATCTGGGCCAGTGCTAACTTGCAAGGACTGACTCTGAGGATGGGTTTACGCAGCTTTCAGCCCAGTGTGGATAAAGAGGTTCAGGCAATAGCCCCCTTTTCACCCCATGTCAGGAGACGTGGGCACACAGAACACCAAGAGGTGAGACCGTGAGTAGAGGGATGGCAGCGCCACAGCAACGGGACAACGCAACGTGGCCAGGGTGCAGAAATCAGAGTGGAACCAGTATCTAGGGTAGAAGAGCAGCATTTACCTACGTACTAGCCCTTACCTGAGAGATCCCCATAGTCCAGCTCCTCTGCCGAATTGGGCAAGTGAGTAAAGCCTTACAAGTAAAAACAAACTCATTTTTCTCTGCGTTCCTCGAGTGACAAAAAACAACACACTTAAGAACTGAGGATGAATTTCTTGAGGGGGACAGAAATAATGCGTCAATCACTTGCCATCGTCTGCCAGATAGGGCAGAGTAACCCGCAGGGCAGAACTGCAATCATTCCCTTTATAACAGAAACATTCCTCAGTCTACACTGCTGGCACACCAAACATGGCATCAAAACCACTCACTCATAACAGCATGCAACGACCCCCAGACTCTGCCTTTTAGTCCCCACGGGGAGCGATTTCCAATTGAGGCCAGGCCAATTTGGGCTCTGTGCACAGACAGCACTGGGAAAGGCCCTTCCAATTTGCCACACAATTCAGTCTTGGTTTGGGAATGCTGACAAGCCTGGCAGTTTACTGATCTGGGAATATTGGGGGTCGCATTTCAGAGCTGCCGGGCACCTGTACGTGCAGGCTGCAGGCTGGGGCTTCCGCTAACGCATCGCACACAAGCTCCTTTTTCCCTTTTCCCAAATCTGATGCATTCACGGGAGAAGTCTCTCTCCTCAAAGCTGATAAAGCAGTTAGGCGAGACACTCTCGGGAGCACCAGGCAGGGAATGCTGCCCGTGAACTTGTTCTTTCCTACTCTCTTGGGAAGTTTGTTGTTGGGGGCTGCTCGGGAGGGCAGAGCATCTCCAGTGCCCTCCTCTGCACAGGTTATAGGGCAAACCCATGCCTGGAGGCCACAGAGATCCCTTTAAAGCAGGACCAGTCCAGCAGGACCTGCGGCAGCTTCCTCTGGCTGCTAAAGCACGGGTGTTACTGGAGAAAAAAGAAGCGTTCCCCATGGAGAGGCACCGGCATCACTGGGCATTCGTTTGGGAAGCAGCATTGTGAGCTGGGAGACCCCCAGGAACACCAAACTGCTTTTAAACAGCCAGGAGGCCACCGCAATGCTGGCGTGTGCATCCTGTCCCCAGGGGAAGCAAAGCAGCAATCGTCGTATGGAGGGAGCACATTAAAGGTAAACCTGGCTCCTAGTGACTGCTGGTCAAACACATCAAGTCACCTAGAAGCTGGGGGGATTTACCTTCTAAAGTGGGAAGTGTCTAGATTAATGGCTGGATTTCTGTTTGTGTGCCATTCTTGGCTTCAGGGAGCCTCCTCTTTACTGGAATACAACACATAAATACCATTACAGGTGACTCCAGAAGCGCTGGGCATGCAAACCTAGGCTCAAAGAGGAGCCGATTGACTTTTCTCTCTCCAGAATTCCTTCTGTAGAGCCTTCCCTTTCTCTACATGTTCTCAGTAACAAGAAAGGGCAAAGCTGCATTTTCCATGAAGCCAAAACACCTTTTTTAGAAACGAAAATGTAACATTTCAGTGATCCAGGTTCTCCCTGTGCCTGCTACACTTCAAAATGCCACCGAACTGTATTAAAGCCTGTTGCGAGGCATTTTAAACACACAGTAAATTACTGCTTGGTTTCTCTCATGAAACTTTGACCTGAGCTATGAAAGCTCCTCCTTTTCACTCCTCATCAGGAGGAACTCCAAATCTGCTGCACCTCCTGCAGAGGAATGGAAGCTGACTTGGCACTCTCTACCCAGACCCAACACACACTGGTCATATGCACATCTCTAGCCCCAGAGCTCCACAATGCTGCCTGAACTGCCTCCAGGTATAAGGAAAGACAATTCCTCTTTGTACCAAGCTGTAAGTATCAATTAGGGGATATATTTAATGCTGCCAGCTCTGTACAATGGTACAGAAACCTCAACACGTGCCAGGGGCTTTGTGATGTTTTACTCCATCTCCCGAGGGCTGGAGCTGTGAAGTATATTGAGGAACGTATTTACTCTCAGTTGCACCTTCAAAGGGGAACAAGGCAGCTGGACAGGCAGAGCTGCGTGCCAACAACACTGCAGAAGGCACTGAGGCTTTCTCCCTGTATGCTGCTGCCTATGGTGAGACCCATGAGAGCCCAGCAGCTTCTAGCTCAGCTTTAGGCTTCACAGGAGTAAATCTCATTTTCAGAGACCGAGCGCCATCAGAAAAGGCAACAAGAGCTTAACACAGCAGTGTTAAATGTTCTCATCCAAAACCCTGCTAAGGCCCTAATTAAAAATTCATATGTGCCTTTGGGGAAGAATTTCCAGCTTAGAAAATCATTTACCTGCTAGATTATGGGCAAGGCACTTTCGTCCCTCTTCGTTCACGACTGGGATGCTTTCGTTATTTTAACCTCCACTCCGGGTTCCTGCTTTGCCAGCTTCAGAGGAGATTTTTCTCACCCTACCTTTCCATGGGGACGAGCAGAGATCCTGCCTGTGCTGCAGCACCTTGTCTCTGCCCCGGTGTGGAGCCGAAGGCAGCTCTGAGCCAAGCACACGTACGTGCACGCGGGGCTGCCCCGCCACAGCTACACCGCAGCATAACCCCCTGCAACGGGTGATGCCCAAGCTCTGGAAGATCCCTCAGGAGCTCCTTCAGCTCTTTGCTTTTGACAGGACAGGGTCAACATTTGGGAAAAAAGTGGAGGAATTAAGTCGTCGCTCTCGCTGGTCATGTATAAGGTCATGGCTGCTTATACATGTCCTGCTTGTGCAGGGGGCAAAGCGTGAGCCGGACGTCTCGTCCGATGGGATCCTTGCAGGGAGGAGATCCTGGCCTGTGAGTGGTGACGTTGGCCATGGAATAAAAACTGGCACGTGGGCTTTGAGGGGGAGAGGGGCAGGGCAGACGGGAAGCAGGGGCATGGCAGGGAAAGCGCCTGCTCTCCACGCACGGTGGTGGGAGGCTCCTGCTGCACATCAGCAGGGAGCAGGGACCCTGACAGGGCACCACGGGAGGGAGGGAAGGAGGGCTTCAGCTCGGTAAACCCGGCTGAGTGCGCTGCAGCAGAAGCACAAGCCTTCCTGCCGGCCATGACCATGCTGTTATTGGAGTTCTGGCAATGAACAGTGCAGAGAAAGGAGAAAGTGCATCAGAAAACTCACAGTTCAGCTCTCAGTTTTCAACAGAAAGAGTTAACAATGTTCGTGCTTTAGGTCACTCATGCAGCGCTGCCGTCAACTCCATTCCAGAGGGGAATGGCAGGGCCTTTGCTACCGCCTTTACATGCACACACATACAGGACTCCTTCCCCCCAGTCCTCTAGGATACACTCCAAAACACTACGTGACTCAAAAATCCTTTCCCCAATTGAAGTATTGTGCTGGTTCCCACTAGCCTTACATTTCGTTTTCTCTGCTACCAATCTCTTTTTCTTTTTTTTTTTTGTCTTTCTTTTTCTTTTGTTTTTTTTTTTAGTTTTAATTCCCCCAATTCATTTGGAATCGTTTTTGGAGAAAATCCATTTGGCTGTAGTTCATGCCCATGCATTTCTAGTCATTCACAGACATGCTCACTCCCATCGGACACTGGTAAGAACAAATGGCCAACATACAGAAACACCTGGTATACTCCATACACACTCCAGCAACACAAGCTTGGAAAGAACCCCCCGAGTCTTCATGGGAAAAGCAGCCCCGTGGGCAAGCGCAGGGGGCTCGGTGCCAACCGGCTGGGATTTATGGCAGGAAAGTCTGTGGCAGGTCACTGGAGTGGGATTGCACTGAAGGCAGCGTCCCTAGAGCCACGCTGAAGGCTCTGCACCAACTGCTCTCCCTGCACTCTGCATCAAGGTGCTGCTGAAGCAGGACACCTTCCTGCTGCACCCCACGGGACACAGCACTCACCGTGAGGGCAAGCGGCGGATGGAGCCTGGCTTCCTTCCAGACCAAGCCTGGGTCTCTCCTGACTTTCCTGACTGCTCTCAGACCCTTCTAAGGAAGCGAAGTGCTGGGCTGGTGCCTCAGAGGCGCAGCCAGACCCTTGGCACCGGAGCAAACACAACTGAGCAGACCTGTAGGCAATGAAACGGTGCCACCACCCTCAGAGGCAGCTCTTCAAGGCTTTCCCTGTGGCCCAACCACTGGCTGACCAACATTCTGCCTTCATCTGATGTCAAACACGGAGAGGGAGACTGCCAATGTACAGAGAACAGAAGTCATGCCTGCAGGCTGCCAGCTCTCATGGCAAGGGGGAAAAGGCATGGAGCAGGTAAGTTATCCAGGACAAGAACTGCATGTCCCTCCGCTTGATAAGGGGCCTCACTACTCAAGTGTCACTTCACTCACTCCTACCTCTGTCACTGCCCCAGATGTGCCAAGGAGGAGAGGTGGTTCTGTGTCACAGACTTCTAGCAATAAAAGACAGGGCTGATTTATAAGCTAAGAGCAACTAAAATAGCAACCCCAGATATGGGTTAGCCTTCATTAAAGTTGTCAGGGGTTTTGGTTCTTTAGCTGAAAAGCGAGCTCGTGCCAAAAGCAGCATGCTCAGCTTCCAGCCTGACGTGACTATTGCGGCTCGCCTCGGAAGCGAAGGAAGCTGTCAAGCTGTTAGCTCGGCTGCCTCCAGCAGATGAGCAGGGTTACTTTGCTAGACTGCTATGCCGATAGGGAAGTGCTGCGACTCGTTTTCCAAGCCTCCTTCTGCACTGCAATGATGGGAACTTCGCTTCTGCCCTTGGCCCCTCTGCGGAGCATCCCCAGGACGCCAAATACTTGCCACTGGACTTGAATTAAATCTGAGCTCCTGTTTCCAAAAGCCAGATTTCTTCTTCATGCATGAAGCAACAGCCCCAGTAAGGAAGATGAGTAGAGAACTGCTCACTGCCTCAGCACTGCTCACAGACATGCACCATTTCCATGGGGTCTGGGGGACTGGGACCTGCCTGGCACTGGAACAGCTGCAAAGCTCACAACAGGAATGACAAAACCAGACAGACTTTCCAGCCTTAAACCCCGTGTTATATGTATGAGGCGAGTCCACCTGAAGCATGGTTTTCCCTTGAAGACCGCATTTCCCTTTTTGCTTCCCCTTCCCAGGCTTGTCTTGCCACTCAGCAGTGCTGAGAAATAAGAGAAACAAGAATGATACCAACCGTGAACTGCTGGTTCTGTCGTCGCCGTTGTGTCTACACACGGGAACAGAGGATTGGAGGAAGGGAAGAAACAGGAGGAACAGCATGCAAAAAAAGGGAAAATGGAAAAAATGGAACAGATAATATATGAGCAAGCTTTCAAAGAACATTGCGTGACAAGCAATAATAAAATGAAAGGCAAAAAGCATTTGAAGTGAGTTGCACTGTTTAGAAGACATGCCTCCAGTTCAAAAGCTATGAGCCTGAGGAAAACAGTAAATTTGCCTCTTTTTCCAGGACCATGCCACAACGATTACTGGTGGTTGCAAAGTCAGGGGAGCAGGAGGCTGGGGAGAACACCCACACCAACGCTGCAGCTGGTTAAGGACCAAAACAGAAGCTCAGGACCAGGACAAAGAGCCCACGCTTGGCACAAGGCTTTTATGCATTCAAACATTGCCTTCATCCACTCCCACCTCTTCTCCTCCTTCACCCAACGCAGGGAACCTCCAGGCATGTTTGTACATGGCCCAGCCTTCTAACCCGGCGCCTTGCCGAGGTGGCAAGCCAGGACTAAAGCCAGAGGGGCTGCTGGAAATCTCACATCTGGTACTGAAGGTGTGAGCAGCAACTCTGCCTTGGCTACACCAAGCCTCAGACCTGCCAGATGCTTTTAGGTGTAGAAATGTTCTAGAACTGGCAATTGCAGACAGCCATTACCAAGCCCTCTAGTGCAACAGCCGCCTGGTTAACAGCTATCACTAATTCCAATACATTGGCCCTTTTCTGGTCGGGACTCTGAAGCTGATTTCACCCCACATCTACTACCCACCATCAGAAATGTCTTGGGAGCTGCTGCCTTGCCAAGGGAGAGATGCTTCATCTCCTCACAGATGTTTGCAACAGGCTGTTTTAAAGACTGACCACATCTGAAGGCTTTTTCTTAGAGCGTCCTATGCTATTCCCCTACACCAACAGCTCTAAATCCTATTTACTTGTGTTATCCAAATTACTGGCTTATTTAGCTATCGAGACTCCTCTACTTTTTGTCTGGTTCTACACATCCTGTGATGCTGGTTGCTTGCGTTAGTGGGGCAGGCTCCTCCCAATGTTACTGTAACCCCACAAATCCCTACCGCTACTCTGGAGCCCACAGCAAAGCCCAGGTTTTGCACAGCTCGACTCTGATGCAGGCAATGTTTAAATGCATAAACCCCCATAAGCATAGAGACGCGCTCTACTGCCTGCTCCTGCAAAGCAGCCCGGAGCTTGAGTCTTGAGACAACAACAGACAGTTCACATTGGTGCTTCCCCTCGCTCACATGCTGGTGGGAGCACCCCACACGGGGCGGCCCCCTGCACGTTCCGAGGCAGCAATGGAAAAAGGACCCCCCGCTCCTTTGCAATTTAGCTGAGGAGAGCCCAGGTCTGGATTTGTGAAGCACCAGCGGAGACAAGAATCATACAAGGAATACACAATACTTACAGATACAAGGTCTACATGCTTTAATTAGGAAAGCAAAACAAATAAACCCTGCACAATTTAACAAACTGCACCAAGATTTGCATAACAGATTATCAAGCCGTCATTAGCCTGCTTGCGCTGCCAGTGCACACTGTTCTTGTCTTGGCAACCCAGCCTAACGCACGCTTAGAGGCGCCAGCCCGTGCTCCCGCGGGAAGGGAGCTTCCCAAAGCCAAGGCAGAGCAAAAGCCAGGCTTTGCTTTGCTGTCGGGCAGCCGTCCCCAAGCGAGGCTTCGGTTTAACCAAGCAAATGGTGGAGGGGAAAATGGTGGTGAAGGGGGGGGAAGCTGTCATTTAGAAAGGGCTGTGAACCTGAGCATTACTCCTGAGATAGCGTCTTGGCATCTATAAATAGTCTCAATTTACTGTCTTCCTGAAACAAAAAAAGTTATGTCAGCTTTTACGCTCAATAGAGAATCTGATGAAAGCAAACTTGTATTCACGTGCTGGAAGAGATATTGGTGAGGAACAGTGCAAATGGACAGTGCATCTCGCTTCCCCGGCTGGGGACAGAGACCGACAGGTTACAGAACACAAAGTTCTCAAGCGGTTGTAAGTGCGAAGAAATATCCAAGTCAAACAACATGTTGGCTGCAGCTGGAATGACAAAGTTATGATTAGCAAATGGGTTGGATGGTAGCAATAGGAAACACAGACCAGTTAAAGTTTAGCATGAGTTTTCCGGCAGTCCTTTTCCATCCCAGAGTCTTCTTTGAGAAGGAGGTTGTACACACACCATGCTCCGAGAGGAATAATCCCGTGTTAAAGCAAAGCAAAGAACGTCCCCCGACAGCAGCACACAACACAGCGGTTACATGGCAAAGGAGAGAAGTATCATCACCATTGCTTTGGTATGAAACGAGTCAAACTGTGTGTGCAGCCAACTCCTCCACTGCTCTGCCCCACATGGGAAGGAACACCCCAGCCCTACAACACTGCTGCTACAACCATCCACCAGCTTGAGATGGACTGGCTAACCTTAACCGTGCTCCCCTCAACTCCAGGTATGTGCCGTTCACTTTGCCTTCACTTTTGAGAACCACCTTCATATGCCGGACCAGGCATACATATGCTACATAATCCTAGAATAAAAATCATCTCCTCTCCTCAAATACAGACCAGCAAGAAAGTCCTTGATATGCTCCTGACTTAGCTAAGGTTGAAGGAAGCACCAAAAAGCACCGTTCTGGTCCTGAGCCCCACGTGCGAAAAGCAGTCACACCACCACACAGAGCTGATGTTTATCATTTAAAATGGCAGGTTGGTGCTGAAAACAGGCTCTTTCACAAGATGTGGCAAAGCAGAGAGGACATGGAAAGCACACAAAAAGCCTCAGCATGGTACTTTCCATCTTAAGAGTAAGGCTTCTCTTCCCAATTGTAATCGGTAAGACAACGAAGCGTGCTGTCTGGGGAGAAGGAAAACAATGCAATAGTCCTTCTATAGCTACATGTACAGAAATTCATCAGAGCACTGGTTTATAATAAAAGGGGGTGCCCCAGAAAGGAGCCACTGGCCTCTATAAAGCTGTATAATCATGATTTCTTTTAGCGCTGATCTAGGAACTGAGTTTAACGCTGCCAGCTCTGCGATGAAGACACCATCACGCGTCATCTTGTGATACACATGGTGCTATCTGCAGCTAAGAAAACTTGAATGACACCCAAGGTTTTGGCACTCACCACTTCATTAGGCAGCTACAAAAGCGTGCACGCACACACATATATTCACACATATTTACATGAAGGCATCTGGGCAGCACTTGGTTGAGTTCCGAGCTCCATCACTGGGCCCCCGCATTTCCTCAAATGGATTCTCTCCAACTTCGAACTGTTTGTGCAGTGCCACAGACCAGGTCCTTTAAACCTGTCCATAAAGAGCCCACAGCCTCAAACAGAACGAGCATGAGGGAGGAATATTAAAACCCCAGCAGCAAAATTCCATTCACCAGCTCGAATGCCTGAGCTGCAGCCTCAGAGAAGCACACAATACACTGGGGCTGAAAACCACACAGCTATTGTAAAGACAATTACAGCAGCTCAACACCAGTATAACAGCAAAACACACTTTTCAGACTTAAGGAGGTATTAGTCACTGTATATATCTGTTTGATATATTGCTTTCTCAATTGCTTTCTGAACTGAAAACAAGAGCCGATCTGATCGCTGATTTGTGGAGCTCTGGTTCTTCCCCATTTTCCAGACTACTTCACCTGGAGTGACCATGGAGAGCCTGAACTCCTTCACGTGGCTGCTCTCACAGCAGCCCTGGGGACCAGCGCAGTTACAAGTGATTTCTGCTTCACCTCAGGTCCTCAAGGCTCAGAGAAAGCCCTACAAAATTGCCTGCCATTCCCACTGGACACACACCTGCTAGTGTTGGACATTAGCAAAGATGTTCTGTTTCAGTAACAGCATCACAGTGTGGTCCCAGGGGCAGAGGAGCTGGCACCCTTTTCCCCAGGTCAGCAGTACAGCACTGCTCCTCGGAGGATGGATGGACACGCACCCTGCATTACGATCCTCAACGATGAGCGTCCGTAAAGCATCTCGAGCGTGTGCTGAAAGCTCTTGCGTACGAGCGCGTTGCAGTGCACCCCTGAGAAACTTTGATTTGTGGACCAGATGTTTCACAAAAACAATCACAATCTGCATGGGGGTTGCGTGTGACAAGCACAAAAATATTCCTAATAGATGCTCTCCTAAACACACACATTTCTGCCCAGCAGGACAGTTTCTGTGCTGCTTATGTGCTGCTACCACCGGTACAACCAGGTGTGACAGAACCGTGTCTGCTGCTGACTGGATAGAGCACTAAAAGACTGAATTTTATCTCATTTTATTTCCCTGTAACAGGCCTGTCAGCTACTCTCTTTTCCTTTATTCCCTTTAATGCGGTCACATCCTGGATGAAAATGTCAGGAGAGAGCAGCATCATCTTTAAATTAACTTGACATTTTATCGGGGACCTGCTGGAAAGCCAAAGCCAGATGGTACTAAACAATGCGGGGGCACAAGGCTGTGGGCTGAGCCCTACGTGGTGCCACCGAGCCCCTGGATGGGCTGGGCACCATCACACGCAGCCACAGGCATGAGCAGCTGAACCCGCAGGGATGCAGGGCCTGCAATCCATGTGGACCAGAGTCATTCCCACGCTGCCTCCACACCTCCCACAGACCTACCGCAAGGCAATGTCAGCACCCAGCGCCTCTCGCTGCACCCTTCCCAGACACCCCCACTTCGGATCACTGTGGGAATGAACCCTGTGCCGCCGCAGGATTTCACATGACCGGCTCCCATCAGGAAAGAACCAGCTTCTACTGAGGACACCATCAATTTCCTCATCTACAGGAACACCCCCGGTCAAACAGAGCTTGCTTGCTCCTGCTTGTAAAGATCCCCAGCCTCGAGGAGCACAGTGTTTCCACAGCATGGGCTTGGTGCTGCCCAGACAAGCTCATCGCGGGGCCTGAGCATCCCTGGGAATTCTCAAGCTAAACCTGCTGCCTGCGGTGTGTCACCCCCTTCATGCATACCCACCCCTGCTGTGGTATATCCAAGACACAGGAGGTTAAAGCACAGTCTAAAAGGCCCTTAAAGAGAGGCCACAGTGGAAGCTGCTGGCAGTTGTAAGATGGACAGCAGCTCTGCAGCATCAGTAGCACCCATTGCAAAGCCCAGCGTGTGTATGTCACCTGCAGGCCTCCACCAAAGCTGTTGTACCAGCATGACCCATCTGCAGAGAGAGTGTGATAAACACAAACATGCATGGACAAGTAACCCCGTGGATCCCAGAAGAGTGAAGGATGCTAAGGAAGGCAAGCAGAAAGCCCTGCTCTGTGCCATGCCCGTGGATGAGGGCCGGGCTGTTATTAAGAACCTTTATCTCCCAGGAAACGAGAGCTGCCCAAAGCCAGCATTTCAAGGGAGAGCTCGAGGGGTAATTCAAATTATGCAGTTTGCTCTGCTGTATCGTATTGTACATCTTAATGAACAAAGCCACAAGGACAATTTGAACCGATCAGAAAGGGCTTGCCAGCGATAACAGCTGAAGCACTGAAGGACAGCTGGAATATCAATGCAGTTGGAGGATAGACGGAAAAGATCAAGCTGTCACGCAGGAAATCTTTTCAAGCACCTACAGTGAAGCAAAGCAACAGTGACAGAGGCAAAGCTTTAAAGGTCGTGCTGCGCAGAAACTTGACCGCTGCTCGGCTTTCCCCTCTCCTGGAAGGAAGCAGCAGGTTAACTCACAGACTCCTTCCCCACCTCCCTGCACGGAGCCTGCAGAAACGGAACACGACTTGGACGTGCCAAGCAATTGGGGCTGATCCATGGCTCTAGGCATGGACCTGGCTGGGTCTGGGGGGGATCTCAGAGCACCCAGGAAGCACAGTGCACCCCACAAAGCACAGGGATAACCGCCGTGCTCCATCACATTCCTGCACATCGCACTACCTGTCCTCCCACACTTGCTGCACCCACTGCTCCAGCTCGTGTTGGCTGAGCAGCGTCTATCACTGCATGGGGATAACAGAACAGGACAGGGCTGCTTTTCCATTTCATGTCCGAACATGTCTGGAGTAGAAACACCGCACAGAAGCAAGAAAAGAAAGATGTCTGTCATGGGAACCTGACAGTCGCTAACTCACCATGTACGCGGAGCAGCAAATGCAGCCCTTTGAGACTGTTCCACCCGAGAGTTTTAACAGGGGAAAATGAATTCAGGACAAGTTATCTCCAATAACTCAGAAGGGGCAGTTCCAAGAATTCCTAGGGGCAGCTGCGAGAGCCGAGAGCACACCCACAGCCTGAGTGTGGGACATGGAACCGGCTCAATGCAGGGCTCTCTCTAACCCTTTAACAACATTTTATGTTAAAGCAAGACAATCGTTTTCCAGAACACTCTGGTTCCAGGGGATGTGAACTGGGCTGGGGTTATACAAGCAGCAGGAGGGAAAAGGCAAAATAAAACTGATTCCAAGCTGCAGCCAACCTGCCAGCAGAGGCAAGAACACCCCGTCTGCCTCCTAAGCACTTCTGTCACGCCACAACAGTATCTTAGCGCTTCGGTGAGGATGGGAATTAAGGTATCATTTGTCTCTCAAGGCTTTAAAAAGGGTTTCAACACTGCTATGCTATGTAATTCTAGAGATTATGTTAATTTGACCTAATTTTTCCCAGTGACAAAGTCTCTTAACTATTGAAGAGCAGAAGTTGCCGCAGCCTCACGCTGCCTGGCTGCTGGAAAACATACCCAGGCACGTCCCAGCAAAGCCTCAGCTGCTTTCTGTGGGCAAAGCACACCGAACTTGTGGGCAGAAGATGTGAAGACACACATCAAGAAGACTCAGCGCCAGATCGGTGTCACGGAGGAATATAAAAATCACTCTTATCGGCATTAACTAATCTTCTTCCTACACCCCGTGAGCAGTAACTGCTGGAATCAGTGAACAATGTAACATTTTCATTACTTTTGCAGCCTCTTCAGCAGCTCAGAGCCAAGAACAAAATGAATTAAGGAGGCGATGGAGACCCAGGCGGGTTTTGGCAACAGGACGTCAGCAAGCTTTGAGTTTTACATCCTCCACCATGGCAAACAAAGGAGGGAAAACGGGGCAGGCACACGCTCCTGAGCTCAAGGCACTTCTGCCATGCTAATGAAAGAGCAACCTGCACTTCTGCTGCTACAGGAAATAAAGAGCTGCTGGTCAATGCATCTGTGCGTGCCTCCCCATAGAGCGGCACCCTCACAAAGGGCAGTGCTGATCCTGAGGGCAACAGTTGGCTCCGATGGAAAGCTACCAAGGAGAAACAGCTGGGATAACATCCTGTCAAAGGTCCTCCCTCCCTTTGAAGACCATCATCCCTAAAGTGACAGGCTGCTAACAATCCAGCTCCCAGGAAAAGGGCAGGCATTTGCTGGCACCCACATGGACTTAATGGGGTCGATGAAGCACCAGACCAATTCTTCCTTTCAGCCTTCCAAAATTCACTGAAAGCATTAACAAATCACCATAAAGCAAAAGAGAACGGTATGCGTGTCCATGACACCCAGCCCCAGGGACCAGGCTTCTCGGCAAGCAGGGACTTTCATCACGTTTGACACTACTCTGAAATGAAAGCTGGTTAAGTTAAGAAAGTAAAAACAGAACTGAAACAAGGCAACCAAATGGCAAAACGGGAGCACGTTCACAGTGGAGCATCTCAAGTAGCCAGACCCGGGTGCCTGGAGTCCGGGTTTATCCATAACCACCTGGAAGGAGGAAGACAGAGAAGGGCCAGGTCCAGGGAGCACAACGGCACAGTAAGGCACATTGGGAGGAAGGCTTCGATGGCTCATCCATGCCAGCCGGGTCTGACTGGGGTGCCAAAACCTCAGAGGGAGAGAAGCCACACACCCCGAGCAGGACAGTCAGGTCAGCTGAGCAACGGCAGAAGAGCAAATAAAATGTGAAGGCATTTACACAGGGGATGCTTTACAGCAGCAATAAACATTATGCCATTAGCTACTCAACGGTCCATGCTCACCTTCGGTTTGCCACCCCTACCTCAAAAAAAACCAAAAGACAAACAAAACAAAAGGCAAGCAAAAGCAGCAGCTGACATAGAAAAGATTGGGGAAATGGCAATGCGAATGATTACAAAATGATTACTTGGAAAGGCCTTCGGCATGAGGGGAGGCTTGGGGCTAGTGGGGCAGGGTGATGGATGCAGGTAACAGCACCAGGTGCCTCAGGATGGGCTGGCTGGGTTTGTTCCTCTTGTCTCGTGAGACAGGCAAAAACCCACTAAAAGCCAGGTCCTCCAAAAGGGTCCTCCGAGTGGATCTAAACTGACTGGTGGAATTCCCTTTTCTGGGAGAGGGAGGCAGAGGCCTGATTACAGAGACAGGCTGAACACTGAGACATGAGAGAAAACATCTAGAGTCACACCAGGCGAATTACATTACTCAAGACCCAGCTTTCTGCTTCCAAGTATGAACTGCTCAGAAACTGACAGTGATGGGGGTGAGGCGGAAACAATGGCCTGGATTAACTGAGCTCTATGGCTGTCTGCATCCTTCATCTGAAAGCACCCAGCACCAGCCACCAGTAACCGCATGAACAGCTTGTCCTGCCACAGCAATCCCTGCCTGTCACAACCCCTGCAGCAGGGACCGCCCAGCTCCTGAACTGCCCGCCCAGGGCCTGGAGGGGTGTTTGCAGAGGAAAAGGTAAAGTGCAAGTGACCTGTTTGTTGTTTTTCCCCAGGCTTCATGCTCGGCTTATATACACAAAAGACAATAAACATTCAGGACATTTCCAATGGTTATGAAGGTACCGTACCTGTGATGGTGGTAGGGATGGTGGTGGTAGTGGTGGTGGTTGTTGTGGGAGGAGGGATAGTTGTGGGGGGATCTGGATAAAATATAAAAAGGAAAAATAATAATAAAAAAGCAAATTAAGAAAACCCAAGCAGAACACAACAGCGGTCAATCGGGAGCAGAGAAAACCAAGGACGCAAAGAAGCAGCGCTTTCCTCCTCCAAGAGCCAGGGGCCAGAGCCCACAGCAGGGCACGGCCGCGAGCAACACCACAGCACAAGGATGTGCTGAGCCGGAAAGCCTGGCCCCAGAAACCCTCCCCCTCTTGCCTTCCACAGCGCTAAAAAAAACACAAAGTAAAAGAGCAAATAAAGCCCAGCATAAATTAGTCAATGAGAGAGAGACAGAAATGGGATGGGAGAGGCATAAGGAAAATAAAGTGCACGCTTTCCACAACACAAAGAACAGTTCACAGGAACAGGCAGAAACACAGCGGGCTTGGTTGGGTTTCTATGTATACCCTTGAAAACTCAGGCAGGAGGTTTGTGTGAGGGGACCCGCTGCACCTGAAGGCGTAATGTTAACAGCCCATTAGAACATCTCCCTTCCTTCCCAGGGCCACTGACATCCCTTTTCCAGGAACGCATGTCAGCAGGATGCTAAAAACTACTTCAGTGGTAGTCACAAATACACAGGAATGAGAACATCCTTCCTAAGTACCAAGGGATGAAGAAATTCACCGAGATCTTTTCATTCCAAAGAGCCAATGTTTGCTGACAATTTCAGCTGAATGCTCTTGGTTTGGTTATTGGGGTACTGTTACCGAGGAACACAGCTATGGGGACTATTCCATCTGTGAGCGATCACCGTGTCCCAGACACGCCTGGGCTGCGGAGGCTCCACCAGTGCCGCTCCTCACTGTGCTTGCGTTACGTACATCCTCCTCATGAGTACTGGGCAGGAGCAGGTAGATACGAGAAGATGGCAGTGAATAATATGTATTGATGCCCAGGTGATCAAACTGAATGTGTTCAGGAGTTGGGGAGACTTTGAACTATGAATTCATTCGCCAATAATAGAGCATGAAACATTTCATGGGCTTTTGATTTTACGTCTCCTCTATAGCACGTCAGCTTTTCATCACTAACGCATCTGCTACTCTTTTATCTCCAAGCAAGCTCCCTCAGATTCCCTAATTAAGACATCTGAACTTTAATTATATGCTGCCCCTTTCTTATATTCTGTACAACTTCCCCAAAGTTAGGAAACCTCAGCATTTGCTTCGTTGTGGAGCACTTGTATTAGAAGCAGTTGTTATCCCATCCCTACGTTCAAAGCATCCTGGTCCCTGCACTTAGGACAGGGAACTTCTTCCTTGCTCATAATGCAAACCCGAGGAGTGTTGGAGACCGAAACAGCAGAACCAGGGGCATAAAGTCCCTGGCCTTTCACCATGCTGCATGGGATGATGCTAAGTAGAGATCTTCCTGCACAAAATCTTCCTCCGTAAAATAAAGCCAAAAGAAGGATGCTAATTGTGCTAAAGGTTCTAGCAAACCTGTCTGCCCATTCCCACGGGGATGAGAAGCATGGAACGAGCTCTAAAACCAGGCATGGTTTGGTGTGTCAGTGTGATTGGGCACCCCTGCCCCATGTGTGCCTTCTGCACAGCTTGGCAGCAGTTATTCTGCAAGCCTTGCCTGCTGGAAGCCATCCACATGGAAAACCATTTAACTGCCTCTCGTGGAAACACGCCGGAGCATGGCTCTGCTGCAGCTACCACTGCATACAGCCATACAGCTGCATACCCCACACAGCCTCTGGGTGCAGAGGGACTGTGTCCCTTGTCCCCCCAGCTCCCAAGTTAACAGGATTTGGGGAGCCTTGCGCTGGCAAGAGCCATCCCCACTGGCTGAGGATCGAGGCACGTCCTCCACCAACATCCATACTGCACCTGCAGAGATGTGTCTGGGAGGACACAAACGCTGGTGCTGCTGCAAGATCACACTGCGGTGGGGAAGGAGCTGAGGGTTGGAGATGGAAACACTTCCACTGCCGAGTGGGATGCGACCAGCACCTTCCTCAAGTGACAGCCTGAGCTGGGTCAGTCCCAGGGCCTTCAGCTGGTGGCTGCAGCTCCACCACCACATCAAAGCCTCTGGGTTTGGATTCTTTATGGACTCCAGAGTGCTGGATGCTCGTAGGATGCTCCCAAACATGCAGAAACCAGGTGGGGTGGGATGTAAAACCATTACCTGCCCACAAGCTCCTGACAGAACCCAAAAAGTGCTCTCCTACATGGCCAAAATGCCCCAAATAGGGTCATATCCCCCGGGGCCATGCACCTCCTTTAAAACAACACTGTCCCAGGTCTCCTCCCAAGGATTTAATCCGGAGGGAGCTGCACTGCATGAGTCCTGCACAGCCTAGTTCCCACCCACATCTAAACCACAGAATTAACAGTGTGTTTCTATGAGCCCTAAATCCAAGTCACTGACACTGGAGAGGGCTCATCCAGCACTTGCCTGGGCTGAAACAGGTACATAAACTCTACAAGGAGTAAAAGCACCTCACCTCCAATGGCTCTACGGCAGTAGCTCTCCCTGGTTTCCATCTGCTGGGGAACTGCCTGTGTCCTACTTCAACTTCTTTATTCTCCACATTCGTGTTTCTTTAAACACCGATGTAAAGCAGGTATTTTTTAACACCATGAGCACACAAAGTATTCCATCATAAACGCATATCTGACTTCATTTTGCAAACTGGAGTCTTTTGGGCCTCCAGGCACTACCCGTGTGAGGTGGCAGATGAGCTCCATTTCAGCCCAAAAGCTGTAGCTTTGTTGTTACCTTCAGCCTTTGGGCGAGTTTCTAGGACTGGGCTTAAAATCACTCACATGCAAGTGGCATTTAGACAGGCAACATGAGGTCCTTCACTATTAATCTGGATTGGAGCAAGAACAAGAGAATGTGGACTGCAGAGCTCCAAGCTGCTGTTACATGGTCTGAACTTCAAACCGAAGCAAGCTCCTGTCTCATATGAGTAGAATCATACAATCGTGTAGGTTGGAAAAGACCTTTAAGATCCTCAAGTGCAGCACCCACCGCAAGCTTAGCCCAGGCACACAACAACCACTCTGAACCCATAAAGTTTAAATATGCAGCCCAAGGGAATTGCTCATAATTAAACAGGGGGATCACTCTCCGAGTGCCTCCTGAATCTTCATTATATGCAATGCCTGGTGACAGGAGCACAAGGTCTAAAGCAACGGCAAAATAACGCAGAGGGACTGAAGAATTAAGGGAGGTACTTAACAGCACTTTAGAAAGACGCTGAGGCATGGTTTAGTGTCCGCTCAGCTGCCACAGACAGGCTTAAGGCATCTCATTCCTCCAGTTTATTTACTGGTTTGTAATTGCCTGGGGATGCTGGCTGAGCCTTCGGCAATTGAACTTCCTAATGAAAGACCTGGACGTGCCCTCCCCTCCCGGACCACTGCTGAAGACACTGGAGAAGGCATTACAAGAAGGAAAAGGAGTTATCAGAGAAGTCCTAGGGGAACTGTCAGGGCAGAGAACTTCCCAGTTCTCCCCACGGCCCTGCTCTGGCTCTTCCTTCGGCTTCCCTGGAAGCACCAAGTGCCATGGCGAGCCCGGCTCCAGAGGAAGGAGCGCACCGGACACTGGAATAGGCTCTGCCCCTGACCCCAGAGTTCCAGGAGCCGAGGAAGGGTTTGGCAGCCCCGGCCCCAGCCCGGTACAACGCAGGTGTCAGGAGCCGGCTGTAAATCTTGCATTAAGCCAAAAGTTAACTTTGTCAAAGCTTTCAGAGCAGGAATGTTGCAATTATGTGGAAATGAGTCTAGAAGAACGGTGGTTTTCTCACGTACCGTATACAAACAGCATGTAATCCGCATGTGATTTCCCCACCGCGTTGGAAGCCTCACAGCGGTATGTACCATTATCTGTTTTGTTTAGGTTACTAATGAGAAGGTTTGAACCAGACACTACAACGTGTTGAGGCATCTCATCATCTACTCTTAACCACCTCATGTCCGTAGGCCTACAGAGGAGGGAGAGAAAGAAACAAGCACATTACTATTTTCCTATGGTAAAGATGGCATCTTCAATAGTTCATCCACAGACAGAAAGCCCAAACCAAGAAAAACTGTAAAGAAATAACACACGCTTTTTTGCACTACTCAAGCCCCGACACTGTCGGGCTTCCTCAATTTAAATTTATTTTAACCCAACAGGAAACTGTATCCAGACCTTAAATTTTCTGAAAACACTAATGCAAGCAGGAAGAAAGTTCATTAGTGGTTAATCATTCGCTTGTTCATTAAACCTGGGAGGCCGTGGATGACCTGTGCACCCCTGAGCGCCCATCCGGCCAGCGCGTGGCAAAACCAGGATGCTCTGGGATGGGCACAGCACTGAGCAACACCAGCTGGGTACCGGCTGAGGTCTGGTTCTGCACAGGGGCTGGGTGTTCCCCTCATCACTGCCACACGGGCAGCAGCAGCTCTTAAAATGTGCCTTAACTTTCACATGGTGGAAAGGGCTTTGGTGCTCCTGGCTATGGGCTTCAAAAGGCCATTTGTGATTTCAGAGTTCCCATGTTTCCTGCGCATGACACAGCAGCCAGCTTCTTGGGGATGTCTCTCACCCTGGGTCTCCTAACAGTGACTGTTTCACTGTCCTCCTACTGTTGTCATAGTCTTGGGGCAGGGGGAAGTTGTGTCAAACCTCACAAGAAACCTCTGTTAATGCCAATAGAGAAATTCCTACTCTCTGGTCTTTTTTTCTCCTGAGTTTCCCTCCAATGTTTTTGTTGCCCAATCTTGCAGAGAAATGACTTTAAGTGAAGAAACATCCCTCTTCGCCTTAAATCACTGTAAAGGAGTTTATGAAATCTCTGTCTCAAAACCCCAGAACCAGACACTACCACTAGCTGAATGTGCATCTTCTTACGCTTTGAGAGACCCAGGTGAAGCGACCTACAGCACATTACTGGGACCACCGTAACATTAAGCAGCGTGCTGCCAGGGAGATGTGTCTGTCTTACTTAACGTGTGTGTGTCTTACTCATAGCCTGCAGGAAAAAAAGCAGCCTATCCATTAAATTCCCAGGTGATAGCAAATGGGAGGAACTGCAGCTGCCCAGGGAGGAGCTGTGCAAAGGGGCATTGACAGGCTCTGAGCAGGGACCAGGTATTACAGTGGAATTCAGCAGGGGATGTGCCAGTCTCTAATGTACGGGGCAGGAACCAGCCTTGTGCCGAACAGAAGACACTGGGAAGCAGGAATGCACGGAATGACCTGGGAGGGGAGGCAGCACCACGGCCTCCTCACTGCACCCTGCATGCCCCTGCCCCCAGCAGCAGCACCATCGCTCCCCATGGCTCGTGTGCCACTACCCCTGCCACGACTCCCGCCCTGGGCACGCTACCAAGGAGACGCTGACAGACTTCGGGGATGTTGGCAGGAATCTCATGGACATGACGGAAATAAAACAGGATCGTCAATACTTGACAGCCATAAATCCGAGTGGAAGAGAAAGTAGTCTTAAAAAAATAAAGTCAACAAAACTTAAATCACAACAGCAATGGAAGCGTGCAAGAAAATCTGCCCTGCCCTGCCAGGGATTTCCTGGTGCATGAACTTCTTCAACTACGTAAGAAAGCCTCAAGCGCACGGCAAGAGGAGGAGAAAGAATAAAACCTGCATTTCCTAAAAACCACGCAGGGCACCAAAAGGGAGGAAGATCATCCCGCAGTCAATAGCAGCAAAAAGACAGACTGCCTTACCTTGGGATCCATTCCACTTTCACCAGTGCTCAGTGCTTTGGTGCCAGCCTGACTCCTGCGTACCGGCACCTCACTGGGATGCGATACGCAGGCCCCTGGCTTGGCTCTTGCAGGTCAAGTGCCACTGCCACCCAAGGCATTCCCTGGGGAAGAGGCACACGGCTGCAGTGCGGTTCATTCTGCACCCAAGGGCTTGCTGCACAGTGACGACGAAGGGCTCTCCTGGGAGCTCTTCCAATGGAAATCCCTCGGCCACTGGTTACGTAGCAATAAAGTAAATCCAAATGGAGCAGCAGATGCTCAGGCTCAGAAAGCATCTCTCTCTTTTGCACTGTGATGTTATCTTTGCAGCAGAGAGGGGCAGGTTGGGTGCCTGCAACAGCAGCAGAGGTCCTGCAGCACGGCACGGCCCTGCCATGACCTGCCCATCCTGGGGAATGCCCAACTTACTGTGGTTTTCCAAAGGCTGCGCACGACAGTTCCAGCGGCTCCCCCTCTCTCGTAAGGCCTTGCACCGGGTAGTTCTGCGAGACCCGCACTTGAGGCTTATCTGCAGGACAGAAAACAGCCCTCTGTAAGCCATCGCCAAGCATCAAGCCGCGTCGCATCCGCGCGCACCCGGAGCCGCTCTCCTCTTGGCTGGCAGCAGGAAAAAGGGGGATCTGGCAGCACTTCCCGCACCGACCAGAGCACCACGCTGCCTGGGAAATGCAGCTTGGCTGTGCCAGCATCCACCTGTGAACTCGCCCAAGCTAAAAGGACTCATTTGCCTTCCTGCTGAGGCGAACCAGAGGTATCCGCGGTGCTTGGAACCGACAGGTTGTACTGTGCATCCTGTATTACTGTACAACATTTGGCGTCCACACACATTAATATGCTGGGCCTTACGGGAGATGCTTGTTAGAAACACACAAAGAAGTCAGAGCCGATGCTGCTGCTGTTTCAGCAACAGAAGGGTTTATGTGGTCCAAGCGAAGCTCTTCTAAACCCTAAAACAAACAGAGAGCATTAAGGCATTGATAGTTATGGAGCCAACTCAAAACCTGCAGGAGGAAAAACACAGCCACACCACAGAGCTGGAGTCCACAATTAAAAAATTCATTCCCTCCTACAACTGAAACACAGATTAAAAACTCAATCTAAGTTGTAGCTAAAACGTTATCAGCGCGAGAAATCAGTCCAATGCTACAACTGCCATTAAGCCATATACATTTTTCAGGAATTTACTCAACTGTAAGGAACAAAGGGAGGCAAAAAATCAGTATGCATAAAGGTTGAAGCCATTTAAATGTTTCTATTTCCTTTGAGAGTAACTGCCACCAAAGCCACTGGCTTGCTGCATTTTATTAACTGTGTTTAACTCATTAACATGCTTCCTATGGAACAATAGAGATTAGAAAAAAAACCCGTGTCAGGATTTAACCAATTTAAACTCTCATAATTTCCAGTAATGGAATAAGCAACGCGAGTAAATCCCCTCCTGAGATGACTACACCACAAACACTTCATGAACTAATCCCGCTGCAGATGCTATGGAACACGGTGTCTCTGCGGGCTGGAAGTGGGATCCTGCCGCGCCGGGGGGTCACACATCTGGGGTGCAGAGTCCCTGTTCCACTGCAAGCGTGCCCCCAAACCACGCTCTGCATGTGCCAAATACAGAGGTGGAAGCGGGTGTGAGCCACGAGCGCTCACATAACCCCCAGACCCGGGAAGACGACGTAAACCAAGGATTATGCAGCGAGTGAAGCACAGGCAGCATCTTGGACGCCGTGCCCAGGCTCGCCACTCCAGCTCACAATTCCCACCCCCAGCCATCTGCTCCCTGTTTATTATTTGCTTTGCAGCAGTACCTGCGAGCCCATGCCAGCAACACGACGCTATTGTGCTCAGTGCTGTAGAGAGAACAGAAAACCTTCCCTGCCTGATTTCCACGGGCACACAAAGACGACGGCACCCTGCGCCGAGGAAGCTCTGCGCGACGCCTTCCGCAGCTTGCTTCCCTGCTGCTCCCAGCCCGCCTGCTTTACACAAATTCCACTATTTCTAATGAGCTGCTCCCCAGCCGACAATTCCTTATGGAAATCAAGAGGGATACACTGAAGGCTTGCTGCAATGGGAATGTGCTGCACACTGCCTCGGAATGAGCTCTCCTGAGCGCAGGGGTAGGTGAGCCTTGCCATAGCAGCTCTCCAGCCCCACAGCCTTCATTAAGCAACTGAGAGCAGCACAGCAACCCCACTATGTTGGTCTGGCCACCGCAGAAGTGACACCTGCAACAGAACCGGGGGCTTTACCAGCACCCATGCATGCGCTCAGGGCAACAAGAGCATTTCCACAGAGCTATTCACAGCGAGCATCGCTCCTGCACAGGACTCACCAGCACACCAGTGATGACAGTGGGCACCACGAACACGCTTCCCAAGTCTGAAGGATTCAGAAGGATGGCTGGGCACTCAGGAAAGCCGACTTTTCAATTATGAAAAAGTTCCACTTGCTTCCACCAAGAACTGGGGTGGTGGTGGCATCATTTTCTCCTTTAAGGACATGCCTTTCTACTGCTAAGGCGAAGCATCCTGTCTTGGACAAAGCCAGTCTATTTCCTTCAGCTGATGGACTCTGTTAGTGAAGCTTTGTGAAATGCCAAGCACCGTGGGATCCCCAGCTCAGCTCCTGCACGAGAGGTGACATTTAGCAGTCTGCCAGTAAAGCTGCGATGGTTTCAAAGCCTGGATGCAGTTTCCTGCCCGTTAACCACTGTAAGAAGACCATGTTCCAGTGGCAGCCCCTGTGGCTGCTTGAGCTGAGCAAGGACTATCCAGGATGGTGACCCAGAACTCAAAGCAAGAAGCAGAGGTTTCACCCCCAGGTTCATTCCAGCAGCCTGAGATCCTCGACTTGGAGCTTCCTGTTACCATACCACTGGATACTCCATAAAAACAAGCACTCGCATCTATGCATCCAGGCCGCTACATACACCACTGGCAGGCAATTAGATCTAACAACCCAAAGCTATTTCCTTGTACGCCTATTTCCAGTGGCTTTAAAAACCAGCCTGGTAATTTAATAAGGCACCTTTATTAAGCTCAATTCATTCAAAAGCTAAGAGTGATATACAAGGTTAAACACCAGTAGTCTAAAGGTTATGCTGCAGCAGCAGCCAATTTGAAAAACTTATTACAAACCCATTCTGCGTTTGATGAGATTTCTTTTCCAGCAGGCACCCCGTGTGCCTGCCGGTGTGGGAGCTGCAGCCTTCCCAACGGGACCGTGCACCCCATTCCTTGCCCTGCTCCTTGTCCCACACCACCTCTGCTTTCATTCCTCCAGATGCTGAAGACTCCCCCAACTAACAGGTTGTGCTGATAGCTCAGACAGAGGGAGGCCAAGGCAGGAGACCACACCTCCCCTCCAATCCCCCTGGCCATCCTGGGCTCTCCATGCTGAAGTTTCCCAGCTTTAAAGTTCCGTGGTTTGGAAGTTACCAGAACTCTCCAGTTCCGCATTTGTCCCCATCCTTCTTTTTATCAGCCTCTCGCCCAGCTTTTGTGCCATCAGCAGAGATTATTAATGGTGACTTCTGGAGAGCACTGAACAGCATCAGGCCAAGCACTCGGGCCGGAGCATTCACTCTAAAAATACCAGCATTCGCTGATTACTCCCTAAGGACTTTCCTTTGCGATCTGCCAGTTAGCAATTCCATAATCCATTTAAATGTGTGCTCCATCGATAATGCTTAGATGCCATTAATCAGCCAAGATAAAACCCTACATCGAGCTCAGTGCCTTACAAAGGCCTAAACCTATTATTCCTACCCATGCCCTTTCATCAGGCCAACCTACGATCTCCAAAGCAGGCATGCTTACGGTCTCAAAGCTCAGCAGCAGCCTGACCTCCTCATGTGCCCAGGGTACCACGATGCTCCGGCCGGGCCCATCAGGCTGCTGCCCGTTAAGTGCCTCTTCCCAAGGGCGGGAAGAGCCAGGATGCGTGACTTTATCTGGGAGTACAACCATGGACTTGAACAGATGTTTGGTTTTCTTGGGAAAGGCAAGGCAGCGTGTGAAAGGTGGTTACACCCTCACCCTTGTGCCTCTCCCATGAAATACAATCACAATGTGCATAATGAGGAAGCTACCTGCAGTGATTTCAACTTTGTGGCTCTATCCGCTAATTTCACCATGCACAAGGGCTACCAAAAGCTGCCATGGAAAACCTGCATTGCACTCCATGTACGTGTTCCTTGGGGCCGTGCCAATCCTACCAGCATTGAATCATTGCACTGCAGCAGCTCCCAGTCCTCCAGCGATCTCCATGCGAGCGATATATAGCTCTTACAATGCAGCAATCTGTCCACCCTGAACTCAAACCCACACTGAAACAGTCGGGATAACACAGTGAAAACATTCTGGGTAGCACTCGTGGCTTCAGAGCCACCCAGATAATACTTTATCTGCCAACGGGCACTATTTTACCCAGCTCCTCACCTCTGCTTTCATCGGTGGCCCAAAGCAACTCTTCAGACCCTGGCTGCTGGCAGCTTCCATGCTGACTGCCAGGAGGAGGGCAGGAGGAGCGTGTCCCTCACTATTAGAAGGCAGCAGCCAAGCAGGCGCTTAGACACGGGTTAAACACAACTGTCCCCTCTGCTCTGAAATCACAGGATTGCTTATCAGGAAATGAAGCCTCCGTCACAGACAGCCCAGACCTGGCAAGCCTGAATCTTCCCCTCACCTCTCGCAAGGACAGGAGTCTGCGAGGCTGCTTTTCAGCCAAAAGGCACAAACCTCGTAAATAAATAGCTCCCGTGCTGGCAATAACGAGTACGTGTGGGACCAGCAGCTCCCAACTCATCTGGAAGAGCCTTGCAAAGACTGCTCTGCATAATTCACCCTCAGCAGAAGGCACTGAAAGCCTGCAGCAGGAAAAGGGAAGCCAAGGCCAGTCAGGCTACAAACACTTCACTATTTAAGTGAGTTCGGCTGCCTAACGCCTGCAAAAGGCAGAGTCCAGCCCAAAGCAGGAGTTCCTCGCCCCCAACAACACCCCTCGGAGAAAACCTTCTTAATGAGCTTGCAAATGAGCACCCAACTGGGAAATGTCACAAACAAGAGTGCCTAACGCCCCAGAAAATCAAATAACACTTGGCTGATCGTGGCGCTTTTCATATGCACTGGAAGGAAGAGAGAAAAAAGCCTTAAATCAAAGTTTCTGAAGGGGTCAACACCTCGCTGAACAAAACAACTCATTTATTCCTTTTCAGAAATCTCCAGATGATAAATTACACTGATGTTAATCACTTCGCTGCATACTGTGCAACTAACACTCGTACGCAACAAATGTAAGGTTTGCTGGCGATGCAGCCGCACACATACATATATATGGCCCATTTTAAACATCATTTGGCACCAAAAATCCTCCCTTCCTAACAGCAGAGGCTGTAACAGATTCCATCGGTGCGTATTTTAACAGGACATGTGCAGATGTTATGAAGAATGAATAAGCAATTAATTAGAACTTCAGAAAGGCAAAAAATACAGCAACGCATAGAAAACGCCACATCAAGACCCCACCACTTCTGCTTCCAGCCTCACGAAATGAGATAAGCGCCACAAAGGCTGAACTTAAATGTCTCCGAGAATATCGGGTTCCATTCCATTCCTTAATGATATTTTAATGCGTTTTGTTGCTTCATTTCCTTTCTAAAATTACACTCGACGCGCTGCTCTTCCATCCCTCACCGGCGGATCACAATCCCACAGGGAAAGCAGCTCCAGCTGGAATCGGGAGCTCTTCCCAAACCCGGATCGGGCAGCGCACTGCAGCTGCCGCTGCCCCCGGTTCCCTGTGTGCTGTTAATGTTCTCCTGAATGCTCTCACCGCTGCTCAAACTCTGTTTGCTTGGGGAGGCATCACCAGGAGCCTCTCATACGTACTCCTCAGTGTTTGTTTGCACAGATCTCTTTTCAACAGCATCCCCTACATGTACGCAGAAGCATTTATCTCTCAACTTCACAAAGGGCCAGCCTGTGCCACATTACATATGTAACAAATAGCTTACTCCAGGAGCAGGACAAGTTAATAGTGATCACGGGCCAGTGCTGCTGAGCGCAGCAGAACAGACCTTCCTCCCAGCACATGCTGCTGCGGGCAGGTTCCTGCCTGGCTTTTCCTTGGAAAACAACACAACCAACCCACACCTTCGGAGCTGCATCTTGGAAAAAACCGCCCTGTGCTCTGAAATTTAGTCAGACAAAAACCACCTCATTACCCGAGAAGGCTCCATCCATCATCCTCCTGTCCTTCCCCAACACATTTCATGCTCCAGTTGGATACACTAAATGCAGAGAAATACAACGTCTGCTGAGAAGAACATTTTCCTGTTCCCTGCTGATGTCCTGAGGAGGCGGATTTGCTGTGACCTTGGAGGGAATGGGCAGGACTTATGGGAAGAGGATGGAAGAGCAGGGAATGAACGAGCAGCACAGCTAATGGCTCTGCAGCAGGAAACCCCCCGTGGCCAGGGGAACTGCACCACCAGCAGCCGCAGGAGTCCTAGGCTCCAACTGCAAAAGCCCATCCCTAAAAAGCCATCAGGCACATACCAATTAGGCCTCATTGTAGGCACCTCAGCTCCCCAAGAGGGCACGCACATGTCCACAGCAGCGCTGATGGAGATGCCTCTCCGGAAAGACAACAGGACCCTCCTCCTGCCCAACACGCCATCAGTGTGAAGGGGAAAGTTTGCTCTGCAACAGCCTCTCCCACCTGGAGCTCAGGCCCAGCATCAGGCATTAAATGCAACTGTCTGGATGCTGTCCAGCACATGGAGTCCCAGAGCCGCTACCTGCTGGGAGCTGCCAGGTTTTGATGCACGACATGTTCTTCTGCCCGTGCTCTCCTCTCAAGCCATCTGCTGCTGCCCACTGCAAGACCTGACCGCAGTAGCATGGGTCAGGTCCCCAGTTTATCCCCATAATCACTTCTAAGAAGCTCAGAGTTTAATGCAGACCGGACCATAAACACAAAGCAGCCTGAAAGCCCTTCTCCTGCTCATCCCTGCTCCCCTCCCAAGGAGGCTCTGTGCTAGTTCCAGTCCAACAAACAGCTCTGGAATGACACACAAGGATGCTACCATCAGTGCTAAGGGCAGAAACATGGGCAGCAAGGGCAGCCTTCAATGTGTTCACTGGAGTAGGCACGTGTCCTGTAGGACATCCAAGTAACTGCAGTTTGTGTGTGCTCTGCCTTCCCAGCATGGGAAAACCTGCAACGGCTGTGAACAAAAGAGGTCAGAATGGATTTATCTGAGGAAGAGTGGAAAAAATGTTAATGTTTTTGCAGAAAAATGACAGCAGCCACCTCCCATCCCATCAGACAATCAGGATTTCAGAAGGATTGCCAAAAGGAAGCCTAAAGGTGAGCTGATGTCCTTTCGAACAAGGGGAAGAACCCAGCAAGGTTTCAATGCCTCTGCATAATCAGGGGAGATGGGATTCTTTCCCCCCCCCATTAAGTATTTGATCAAGCCTCACAAAGGTGCTAATGTATTATTAAACCTAATGGAGCTCTACAAGAAATGTTAATGGACATTAAGTTTGCATAAATGAATTACACATTAGCTTGGTCGCAAGAAATCTCGTATCTGCCAATTTAGGTGGTATCTGATCATTTCTGTTTTCCTCATTACAGGAACATTACTTCCCGCTAGTTTCAGAGATATGACAATTGTAACCAAGATGTTCATAATGAAACTACATAATGAAGCAGATGAAATAAATTAATACAAAACATCCTCTTCTCCTTCTGAAGTGATATTCCAGTTGAAGTGAGCCTCCACAAACAAGCCCCCCGCAGGCCCCAGCACCCCGGCTCTGTGAGGACTCTGTGATGGTGCTTTGGGAGCTGCCTGCAGCTCAGATGGTGCAGCAGCTCCCGCCCTCATCCCCAGCAGCCGCACCAGGGCACGGCCGCATTTGGGACCAGCAGCACTCCCAGGCAACCTTGTTAGTGTCATATACAGCAGCCCAGTTCCTGAACAAAGTGAGATGTTATTAACAGCAGACATGTTAGAAGTGTTACAGAAAACAGGCTGGCCTTCATCAGCAGCATTACTGAAGATTCCACATACATCATGTTCCTCTGACTTAAAAAACCACCTGGTGCTGTGTGTTTGCAGTGCACAATGCTGGGTTTCTTTTGCACAGAGCAGAGTTTTTGTCAGTGAACTCCCAGTGGTGACCAGTTGCTTTGATGTGGCAGTAGAGAAGCATTTTTCAAAGAGATAGGTAGGTTGCTAAGAGAAAAATACTCAGGTTTAATCTGTTCTGACAAGTATAAAGCCCAGCCAGGAACCTTTGACAGTGCAGATTCTATGTACAGAAAGTTATTTCTTAGGAGCATAAAGGTATGTATTTATGGTACTGCAGAAGGGCCAGGAGAAGTGGTGGCTTAGCCCCTAAAGTGGTACCCACCATTTTGAGCAACAATATAGAAGCGCCATCAATGCTGTCATTTTACCTTCACAGTAGTTCCTGAACTCTGAAGTGAGGGATTGGATACGTTAAGAGAATGCAAAGTGCTGCTACTCACACATAACTTCCAGGTAGCGCTGCGTCTGCAGGTCCTTGACAGCGGGGTGGTCCACCAGGCAGATGACAGGGACCCCGTCGTCCTCCCGTCCCACCTTCAGCAGCAGCTGGCTGGTCACCGTGTACATGTCGGACCACTGCTCCACCTCCGACTTGCCTGGGGGAGAGAGCAGAGGGTGGGTGACGGCGGAGGGAGCACATCCCCTTCGGGTGCCATCCATCCCCGCTCGGCAGGCCCCGAGGGTTGGGGGTGCTGTTGCCAGTTGAAGTCAATGCTGCGTTACCGCAATGATTAACGATCCTCTCACACCATCCCCAAATCCCCTGACTCTTAAATCAATGAGCTGCAAATCCCTCCCACTCCTGAATCAACAATTAGCTACAGAAGTGATTAACCAGATTAACTCCATTAAAAGCGGTATCGATGGGTGGAAGTGTTTCAGTGGTGCTGGTCGGAGCAAAGCACTGTTCCAGGCTGGCCGCTGGAAGGATGCAGTAAGGCACAGCATGGAGACACAGAGGAACAACAGACAAGGCAGGAGGAAAAGGAACACAGCAGGCACCTGCTGACAATGCACCTCCGCTTTGTCTTCAGATACTCTCATCTGTGGCTTTGTGTTTAAGAATTCTCAGTGTAAATGTTAAGGGCAACTCCTGTAGCAGAGGTCTTTCAAACACAAAATACTCTGTGTAATCTATTGAAGTGAAAGAGAGGCCAGATGGAGAAAGCAACACCCCATGATGTTTAAAATCAAGGCTTTCTGATCCACAAATCCGTGCTGTCCTGCTCTTCACAACCCACAGGCAGGTATTTCAGATTCCCTACTTCTGTGTAAAAAACCCAAACTGCAACGAATCAGCAGGGTGAGCAAGGAGCTACCACCCAGCTCAGCACTCTTCAAAGGGAAAGGGAAGCTGGGATTCATTTGCCAACACAAGAAAACTCAATCAAGAAGCTGGACAGGACAAGCACGAAGGGTCACCACTGTTGCACTGCGGCCCACCAGAATGGGGAAGGAAGCCAGAAAGGGAAGATCTGCACCGGGGCTGGGAATCAGTGGAACACCCCTTCAAGTGGCAACAGGTTTGCATTCCACCTCTATCAGCACGCTCTCAGATGTGTCCTGCTCGGATGCTCGCAGGCGTTTGACTTAAAGAGAGGATTTCATCCTGCCCTCGGAGGGGGAGGGTTTGAAGTAATAAGCCTGGACTTGTATAGAGAGCCCTTCAGTGTCTCAGACTGGGTAAAGCACAAAGGTGCTGTCAACCAAGCTCACATCTACATGCAAGCTTAAACTAACAGCATGTCACATGCAATCTGAGTCAGTGACTTGAATGCGCAAATACCGGGAGCAACCAGACTTCAGGGAGTCGGAGAAACCCATCTCACATGAATATTCAACTGAACACAGAGAAAACACTCCATAAACAACAGAGCTGAATGTGAAGGTGAGCTCAAAATCCTCACAGCCCAAAGCACAGATGATCCTGCCTGCGCCTTAAACTGGGCAGAAAGCCGCAGAAACCACTGCGGAAGAAAACTCGGCCTTGGGGCTGCTCAAGGTCACCTCCAGTTATAGGAAGGCTCCAGGGCCCCGTACTGGTGGCTGGCGGGCAGGCAGAGCCCCAAACGCAGTCCACCCCTTCTGCATTAGAGAACAAGCTGTCTGCCCACACGCTCCTTTGCTCCTGAGCTGGCATTCAAAGTAGCTCACTCCACTCTTTCTCCTTTTATTTTCTCCCCTTAAACTGGCAACAGAGAACAAATCCCCGGCATTACATAAATCATCTCAGCTGCCTGAGATGTCACCTCTGGAAAAAGCAAGCGGCTGAGAGGATGCACCTACCGGTGAGCTCCTTGTTTCCTTTGAACCATCTGATGGTGGTGGCTGGTCTGCTGGCCATGGCAGTGCAGTTCAGCTCGATCTCTTCTCCCTCGACGGCGATTTCTTTCTGGATATCGATTACCAGATTGCGCGGTGGGACTGCAACGAGAAAGACCACAGAGCACGTGCTTGAAGAAAACCCAGTCTGTGATCACTAACACAAGACAAAACCTCCAGGAAAACCCCAACTAAAGGAAAGCAGCAACTGGGATTTACTTGATCTTTCAATCAATCAAACCCTTCGATAGGCGGTTTCGCAGTCATCAGAGTAAGCGCTTCCACTCTTCACCTAGCAATCATCGTGGTGGAGCACATTATTACTTATCGAGCTTGTAACTTTCTGTTCCCAATGCCAGGCGGGCGCCGTTCCAGGGAAGAGCTGTACCTTCTGCGCTACTCGGTGCTGCGTGCTGCTATTTGAAGGTACAGCTTGACTCCGCACACATTTCTTGACTTCTTCTGACAAGGAGAGGAAACACGAGAGCTGACATTTGGGAGTGCATTGCTTACCGTGCCTCGAACCTTGCGAGGCAATCTTTCTCTCCTGCTGTTCAGCTTCAAGCCTCAGCTGCGGGGAGTGGAAGCAGGCCAGCAAGCATCAAGCTCATTTAAAAGGCTCGAGGAGCTGCTGAGCCCCAGCCCGGGGTGGAATGAACCACCCTGGGAACCACCCTGCACCCCCATCCGTTGCAGCACCATGCACCAGCCACTGACCCAGCAAGAGGAGTGAGCCAGCTCTGCACCCAGGGATGGGCACCTCCATTGTATGGCCATTCCCTCAGCATGGCAGCTTGCCCTTCGCCTCAGGCACCTACAGATCAAGACTCTTCCAAACACCAAGCTAGGAGACTATGCACAATGAAAATCACCCAGTAATACTGAGAAAAACAGGCTATAGCTTCAGGAGGTAACAACCACTGAGGTGCCTCTGAGACTGTGACCAACCGGCTTAAAAGTTCGCAGGCAGTAACAAGGAGTCTCCTTCCCCTGAAAGCACCAGTAGAAGAAAAATGATCATCAAGGGATCACTGCACAAAGCTGCAGTTCAGAAAAACCCTGGAATTTCCAAAGGAAACTCAACTTTGCTCTGATCAATATGATTAAGCAACTGCATAGTTCAAATGTGACTAACACGTTTCGGAGCTAATGAAGAACAAATATGTATAAATACCATCCAGATGATCAAATGGACTAATTAGTCACTTGTGGCTTTTCTCTAACAAGAACAGAACAGGCTACACATTTGAGATCTTCACATGTTCCAATTAAGCATGAATAAATCTACATATTGTGTCACAGAAGACATTAAAGCACATGGGCGAGAGGGGGGAAGCACTGCTGAAGCTTTCTCCAACACTGACTCCAAGGAAGGATGCAGCGCTGGCACTGGAAGATGCAGCTCAGTGACATTACTCCTTGATAGACCTTACTCTGTATCGAAGTCAGAGCGACAGCCACGAGATCTTTGGTGGGGGATGCACTCCCAGTGGCACACTGACACAGAGAACAACCACTCCTCTGCCCCAGCTCATTTCTTCTCCAAACTAGGAAGTCAGTAGAACAGGACCCAGGAAATGCATCACCTCTGGCATGGGGGTACCCGACCTCTCCGTATAAACTGCAGCCAAGAGAAAGTCCCTCCTCCATCTCCTCACAACAAACACCTACTGTGCCTGCCTGCTCTGTGAGCTGATGCTCGGCCCGAGTACGTGCTGGAGGTGAGGGGACAAGACCCACTGCTTTAAAGACCTCGGGGCTGGCTGTGCTGCAAGTCCTTCTCCAAAGGAACTGAAGCACAAGGCAGGGAAAGAGACTTTGCTCTGGATTCTGAAGCATGAAGCACATTTAAAAATCAAAACCAAACCCAGCAAATTCTCCCTGCCCAGAGAAGCTGTGGCTGCCCCATCCCTGGCAGGGTTCAAGGCCAGCTTGGACACAGCGGATCGGAGCAACCTGCCCTAGTGGAAAGTGTCCCTGCTTCTGGCAGGGGGGTGGAACTGGATGAGCTTTAAAGGTCACTTCAATCCAAACCATTCTGTGATTCTATGAAACTGTGTTTTGTCTCCCACCTGAAAGACACACCGTGCTGGCTTCTAGGTGAATACAGTAAGTACTCTTACTTCAAACACTTTCTTAGCATTGTTAGCAGTGAAATGAAATCCAACAAACTATTTTTCGTGTGTGATTCAGAGAGAAGAGGTCGGGGAGACCTTCCTATGCCTACGAACACCAGAAAGCACACTGAAACTTTGAAGATGCTGATAAATGTAATGGCAGGAGTAGAACTGCTTATAAACATTATTTAAACAACGTATAAAAACCTAAGAACCAAATCTCATTATACAGAAGAAGGAAGATTTAAACTAATCAGCAAGTGAGATCTTACATTAAGTCACCCTCTGTGATTCAGGTTCTCCTATTAATAGAGTCTTAAAAGCTGTTGCTAATCTGCAGAAGCAGCTCTAATGGCATGAGCTGCTATTACTGGTAACAGCATCAGGCTGAGCTGCCTGCGCAGGGGAGCAAAGGAAAGGGGAGAGCTCAGCCCAGTGTGCCTGAGCACATTCCGGGGATGGGATGGGATGGAGGGGAGCAGCAGCGCCAGCCTCAGCCCTGCAAACAGCCATTTCAAAGCAAATGAGCAAACTGATGGTGTCAAATGAGGGACCTCGTGTTCTTTCACACGTGAAACAAATTTTTGCTAAAATTAATAGGAAGCTATCACTTTCCATTAGCTGAGCTCGAGGTTTCTCTGACTATATACATCAACTGACAGAGATGCGAGAACTTCACCACGCTGGAGGTTCACCAGCAAGGCTGTTAGTAACATCAGCCCTCAAGGAGTATCATCAATGGGCAAAGACACTGCCATTTGCCATTAAAATGTAATCTCTCAAATCCCCAAGTTTTGGAAGGCAAGAGTCAGTGTGTGATCAGAGTAGTCTGATTACTGAAAACACAACATCTATAAACTGAACAGCTCCACCACGCTACGAGGCATTCCTGTTAATTTATTTTCCCTCTGCATATCAGATAATTATTGAAAGACATTTCCTACAGCCTTTCCTTTCTGGCTGACTTCTTTCTCACTCTGCCAGATGAGATGCACCCACTGCAACTCATCTTCCCCTCTCCCTACGACGTCTGCCTTCTCTCGCCCCACAGCAACAGCCACGAGACGGAGGAGGACATTCCTGCCAGGACACCAGCAGGTCCAGAACACCAAATGATTCACTGGGATACTCTTCCGGAGCAGTGACAGCACTAACGACTAATCCCTGCAGACTGTCTGCAAACCGAGGCTGGTATTAAGCCTCACTCCACAAAGGGCAGCAGAACCTCACAGCTTTCCAAGGGACCTGCCCAAGTAAAGGAGAGGCTTGGAAGGGCACAAGACCTCATGCCTAAACCTCCGCTCACTCTTTGAAGCCAAAATCTGCCTGAACAGAAAGGGAAGACCTGAGAATCACACAAATACAATGCAACCTGCAGAGAGAAGCTCTGGGTGCAGCCAGGGACATCCTGCAAGACAGGAAGGCTACTTGAGGGTGATGCCACCAAATGACCTGCTTGGTACTTGCCCTTGAAAACCCTGGGCCTGCAGGTTCAAGTCCTAGGCTGCTTAGAGCTGCTGAAGGGCTGAGCTGGTCTCCAGAGGGAGAGTGCTGTGTGTTCAAATCCTGTCTGTGCTGTATCACTGGAGAGCTGCAGCCCCATCCTGCTGACCCCAAAGCTCACCACAAGCACCTATTTGGTCCTTACCGAGCACGGTGATGGTGGTGTAGATTTCCTGGGGGGGATCGGTGTAGAGCTGACAGAAGTACCTTCCCTCATCAGAAATGGAGACGTTTGTCAGGGACACCCGGAGCTCACTGTTGGAGAAGTTCACCAGCTGGAACCTGCTGTCCTTCAGCGCTGTGGAGCAAGCACAGCCTCAGTGACCGTGACAAGAGATGCAGCATCCCCTCTCCCAGCAAAGGGCTTCATATAAAACCAGCAGAGACACCCACCCCCTGGGTTCCTGATGGCAGCATCCATCCCTGCTCTGACCTTTAAGCCCAGTCCCCTAAGATATTTCAGTTCCCATATCATTACAAGGACTCAACATAAGCCCAGCACCTTATGAGGTGCTTATCAGCTGATAAGCTGATATCAGATGGCCTAGGGACCTGCAGGTAAAATGTTTGTTGAGTAAATCACTTCCACGTGGCCCCATTTCTGAGTGTTTGCAGTCAGTGGACTAGGAGCAGTATGAGAGAGAAAACACTTGGGAAAAGCATGGTTTAAAGTCTCCTGACCAGTAACAGCTGCCCATTACTGGTGTACTTGAGAGGGTTTCACTGCAGGTACCATGCTCTGGGGCACGGCCATCACAGGAAACAAAGCCAGCCTCATCCACTGGATATGGCACCGATGGGAGATGCTGGTTTGGTTACAAAGCAGCACAGACTGCCTTGAAATCCTCAGTCTTCAAAGCCAACAGATTCCCTCTGAGAACATTGCGCTGTCTCGGTGTTGCCCTGTTCAATTTGTTTGTGTCAGCTAAATATTTGGCACTCAATTGCAATTCACCCTGAATTACTACAATCAATTCCTATTGCAAAGTAAGACGGTCTGACTTTTAAAGGGGACCGTCAAGGTTTCCATTAAGGAGAAAGATTATGATTGCCTGTCTCATCTACCCTCTGAAGAATTGACTAAACTCGAAGCATCCAGCATTGCATTAAAGGACGAGCTCTTGGCAAACGCTTTCTCCCAAGTGCGAGCGAGGCGCAGGAAAAGTTGTTATCGAACAAGGAAAGATGGGACTTACGTCTGAAATCTCGGAAATAGATGGTTTGCCTGTTGGGATTCAGGAGCTGAATCACCGAGTCATCGCTGTTCTTGACGCGGCAGCTGATGGTGGCGACGTCCCCCTCCACCACTGTCACATCTTCTGTAACCAGATTCTGGCCATCACCTTCAGGAGAGAGCAAAGAACAAACAGCAACGTCAGAAACGATGCCTGCAAGTCCTGTTTGTGTACCCAGCACCCTGGGAAAGGCAGACCTAGCCTGGATGTCCAGCGGAGCAGCCAAAGTGGGGCTCCCGGACACCACACCCCCCCTGATGCTCTAATACCCATGTTACACATGTGCAGCAACGCCAGAAATCTGCTTCCTCTCTCAACTGTTACATTACCTCAAAGAGCAGTTTGCTATAAGGAGCTTTTACCCTTTGACTTGAGCACACAGACTTTGGGGAACCAGCTTTTACTCACTCTGTGTAATCAGTAGGTGATATTAACGTCCAGAAGCAAGAAAAAGAGAATTCAACGCAATTCTGCAGCGGGAGCTGTGTAATCATTTACAGGAGATCACCTCAAACTCTCCTCCTAATGATCTGAGTCACCACATCACATGCGCACAGAGAAATTCACTTCCCATGTTAAGGGATGCAGAGGATGGGAATCTGAAACCAGTGCTTTGCGCTTGGGGTCCTGCACCCATCACCCACGTACCAACAGCAGAGACCCAAAGCCATTGATCCATGAGGGGCCACAGCAGCATCCGCATCCTGCCTGGGTACTGGAGCACCACGGCTGTGCCCGAGCAGCCCCGGTCCACGAGAGCCAGCGCCAGGTGCTCTGGTATCTCCAGAGCAGTGCTAGCACAAATGTTCAATGTTACTAACTGCTCCTGGGGAATAATTTTATCAAAGCCATTCAAAACAAGGTTCTTGCACAAGGATCAGCTTGATATGTTCTCATAAACGCAATATTCACTACAAATCATTAACAAAGCTATTAAGATTCGATTTCCATCTCTGCAATTATTGCTAGCATATTTTTTTACATTTACTTTAAAAGACTCAATCCTATTTTCAATTCATTAAACTGTTCCTTGCATTTACTGAATTTTACATCAGCTTAGAAGCCTATTTGAATTAATAAGAATTACAGTAGGAGTAATTTAGAAATAAATTATTTGAAGTTCAAGCCACTGAAGCTTTTCATGCCAGGATGCTGCTACATTAAGCCTGCTGACTGATGGCTTTGGAAGTTCAGCATCTCTGTCCAGGCTGGCATCAGGATCCCCCTCTCCAGAAGGCATTTATCTCCCTGAGGACAACGACAGGCCGAGTGCATGTAAGGACACACCGAGCCACGGTCCAAAGCCAACAGCATCACCAGCCCAGCAGACTTTGCGTATTTGTTCTGAACCAAAGGGCGTCTAATCCGGCCCTTGGCTGCAAAGCTCCCCTTGCTCCGCTGACCTAAATATGCTCCCGTGGCTGAGAGCACCAGACCGTGCACGATAACGCTTTGGGGGATCTGGATTCCGATCTGCTCCCGCTTACCAAGACAAGAAGGGCATTGCCGTGACCTGCATCGAGTACAAACTCTGAATTAAATCAGAGGCAACACGAAGTGAGAGCTCCAGACCCATCTTCACGTCAACGTTGCGGGGAGTTTCTCAGTAAATATTTACTGGCAGCGTGTTTGAGGAGCATTAGACACATTCACAGCACTATGATATGTTGTGACAGAAAAGGGAAGACTGGGGAGGGGAAATGAAGCTTATGGACCCAACAGAGAATGGCAGAAGTTGAAAGAAGCAGAGGAAAGCTGCTACTGAAACCCAGCTTTAAATCAGCTCCCAGTTCCCAATGCATTTGGGGGCCCACGAGCAGAGCCAATGGGAAAAACCCAGCAGAATTACATGGGATAGGTTTTTACCTGTCCCATGGAGTGGATTGTCACAGCCCCCATGCTCTGTCTACGTATTAGACAGTGGTCTGCTGCTGGGAAGTCCAACACTAAGTCCAAATCCCCTCTCCAGCATTCAATGCACACAACAGACAGAGTCCAGGCCCTGGCCTGGGGTCCGGATCATCCTTATCTCCAATGTAAGGCATTGCTATGGAGAGGAAGGGAGAAAGGAACACAGAAGAAGCCAGGTTCAGGGTGACCTGCCCTACATAAGCGATGTCTGTAACAGCATTAATGAGCAAGTACAGCAGCCTGGGAACAGCCGTGTCTGGAGCCTATGCAATTCATTTTCTCACTTCTCTTTCTGCCTCAGACCACCACAGTCTCTGCTTTCCAGACTGCAAAGACAAACATCGATGAGTAAATTGTGTTTCAAATGAGTTCCTCTTAGCTGGACACAGCCCAGGGACCTTGGCTCACATGCAGCGGTCACATTTAAAATCAATTCCTTCTCCACTTGCAGCACACCGGGAGCGAGGGGAGCGCCAGGGAGAAAGAGGGAGAGATGAAAACTACGTGCTCGTGAGCACGATTCTGCCATTCCCAGGGAAACACGAGCAGCGCCGCTGCTGATCCGGCCTATGGGCTACTAGCACAAAGGCCTTCCAAGGAAGAGTACTGCTCACCGTACCCGAGCCATGTAAGCCCAGAGACTCAAACAAAATTCCTCTTCACCAGTTGAGTCAAGGGAAACAACCCACATGGATACACAAACCGCTTGTTCGTGTGCTCCAGGAGCAAGCGACCTGGCGACCAGTCCGCAGAATTCATGTCATCTGAATGTCACAACTCACCTCGCAATTCCAGCTCCCACAAGGAACGCGGTGCTTAAATAACCAGCCCCAGTTGCGACAAACACGAGGAGGGTTTGATAAACGCCTCCTGATCCACCTACTGCAGGCGCTTCGTCTACTTCTTGATGCTCCTCTCCCCGAGCAGTGCCCACGCTCTCTCCATCCATCATGAAGATAGCATCCCTCTAAAGGAAACGTCAGGAACCGCCTGTTTGGGAGGACTTCAGGAGCCAGGGAGACTTCTTGTCGTGATCAGATAAGAGGAGCCTTGCAGAGCAGGGAAGAGGAGGAAATCAAATCGCCATTTCACTTCTCTGCACATTTGCTTCACGGAGGGAGGAGAGGATTGACAACTCAGTGCTGGAAGAAGCTGCTGGAGCTTAGTGCACCTGGTCTCTGAGGCTCAGAGGCTCCTTCAGAGCTGCAGTCGTCACACTTGAACTTTGGAGAAGAATGGACAATCCGTGCTAATTGTGCTGGCGAGAAAAGGCAATTGCTTCCTGCGGAGTTAATTTCATGACAGCTTTTCACGGGCAAAAGAATGACAGTTTCGGATGAGGCTGCCTATAGACCATGCACGTGCGAGCGCGGGGCACGGCTGCCAGCGGGGTGAGCACGGCTCCAGTGAGCTAGTCCCACACCAGCAATGGGATGGATTGGGGCTGGAGAGCAGCGCCATGCAGTGAAATCCCAGTCTGCAATCCACATCATGTGCAGAGACAGAGATGCTGCCATCCACTTGCATTAATTCCAAGCACTTCCAGGTGAAGGAGAGCAGAAGAGGCAGCCTGCTGCTACTTACACCCATGTGTAATCCTCTTGGAAGCCGGCAGGGACCCAGATCTTGCTCCAGGGACACCAAGGAAGGGGATCTTGCTGCTGCTCTGCTTCTCTCTCTCCAAAGCAGAGACTGCAGCAAATCAATGCAGCAACACTCACCTGGTACAAATATCCTTACTTTCAGATTTAATGTGTATTATTCTTTCTTCACCACTACAGCTAGGTTTGAGAAAGGATGCTGCTGATGGCACCAGTTTTGGTATCACTTGATGATGCTAAAAGAATCAGTTCCTGTTTAGGATCAGGGGAAAGGAGGCGTGGGTGGAATCAGCATTCACAGAAACTACCCCCAAAACATCAGTACCACGGATGTGTGAAAGTGCAGGTACTGCTGATGGCTAAGGAAGTGCACTGCTGATGAAGGAACTGCTCCTCAGCAACGCACCATGTCTTCCACTTTCCAAGCAGAGAACAGTTTGGCCAAAGGTTGATTGCTTCTCAGAAGAGGAAATGGAAGAGGTGACAGCAGCACCAGATTAAAGGGTCACACAGGGGCCACGACTGACCCTGGCCCTGCCACCGGTCCCCAGGAGCTGGGTCGGTGGGAGATGCTTCTGCACCCAACTTGGCTAAAGGCGGGTTGGCTTCCCCCCAGCCTCCCCACCAACCCTTGGGTGCAGGACTTGTGCACCACTTTGGATCACCAGTCCTGGGATGCGAGTGGATGTCTGGCGCAGCCTGCAGGGAGCCAACCACCGCCAGCTCGCTGTCACGGCTCACCAAGCTGCCTTGTCACCGCAAGGGCCCGTTTCCCTCTTTCCCAGCCCATATTTTAGCAAGCGTGCGAATGCTTTCAGCACCTTTCTGCGGCGCTGCGCCCGGCTCCTCTCCGAGCCACAGCTCACACTTCCCTGCTGAACGGCCCTCATGAGACAGCATGCAAGAGTCTGCTAAAAATTCCTTCCTGCGGGGAGCACGTTTACGCTGTGACACACACACACTTCACTCAAATACACTGCAAAGTCAAGCAAGTTGTGCACAGCTATTAAATTCCTGGAGGAGAAAACGCTACAGCCACCTTTATGGCTTTCCTGGCTTAAAGAGGAAGAATAAAAGATGACAAGAGCTTGGAGCTGACACCAGCGGCTGTATTTACTTTAAACATTTGTGAATTTCTGCATGATGAAGTGGCACTGGGGAATAGTTTCCACTGGATTGTAACCAAAGCAGCACAGAGGCAGAAAACTGCTGTGAAACAGCCCTAAAGCAGTGCTCTCGACGAGAACGAACCAGTTATAGCCCACATCCTGCGCAACAAGCAAAAGGAAGCGTTTCTTTTCACCCTAAGAATTAAACCCCTTTTTTCCCCTCCTATGAAACCCTGTGCACTGCTGGCCACAGGTTTCTCAACCCAGAGCATCTCCTGACCTGCCAGGCCCATCACGCTGCTCCTCTCATGCTGCTGCTACCAGGAACCACATCAGCGCAGATTTATGATCTGCCACCTGTGCTGGGATTAGATGTCAGCCTTGTCTTTCTATTACCCACATATTGATAGATAAAATTCCATGGCCATACAGTGCTTCTCCCTTCAAAGGTTACCACTGGGGATGCTGAGGATCGATACCCATCTCA